TAATTATAAAATATCGTAAATTATGGGCCTGAGTTTTCAAAAAGCCTTATGGGTCAGAAATTTTGAATAACCTTATGGCTTTCACCAAAACCTTATTATTATTATTTTCTTCGAACCGAACATTCTTTTACGGTAGAAACAAATGAGATTTTGGCCAATTCGTGTTCCTATCAAAACACACATGTTCTTTTCTTTATAATTGCAACTTCAACAAAACCCTAACTTCAAACCTTCACTACCCTTCTCATCACTTCGGCAGTCACAGAATTCTCATAGCAGAAAATGGTGAGTTTCCCATTGACCAACCCTTTTACATTTCCTATCTACCTTACGTATTTCTACATCTGGGTTTTTTGGTTTTGATGAAAAAAATTATTCTTTGTTTTACTGTTCTTGTTGCAGCCTCTACCTTGAGTAAGGTTTGAAATTAATCTCCCTTATGTATAAATCACACATAGGGTAATCTATTTATAATAGAGAAATATAACTAAAAGAGTAACAAAAAATAAACAGAATAAACAAAAGATATTGTGGTTAACAATATCTAACAATATCTTAACAATATCAAACTATATCTAAACAATATCTAAATAATATATAACACTCCCCTCAAGCTGAAACATACAAATCGTATGTGTCAAGCTTGTTACAAATATAATCAATTCTAGGCTCCTGTAAAGACTTAGTGAAAATATTTGCTAACTGATCACTTGAGTTAACAAACTCAGTCTTGATATTTCCAGACATAATCTTTTCTCAAATAAAATGACAGTCAATCTCAATGTGTTTGGTCCTCTCATGAAAGACAAAATTAGAACTAATATGAAGAACAGTCTGATTGTCACACACAAGTGTCATTTGAGTGACATCTCCAAATTATAACTCTCTAAGCAATTGTTTGAGTCAAACAAGTTCACAGGCAACTGAGACCATAACTCTATATTCTGCTTCTGCACTGGATCTTGCCACAACACTTTGTTTCTTACTTTTCCATGAGATCAAGTTACCACCAATGGAAACACAATATCCAGATGTAGATCTTTTATTCGAAGGAGATCCTGCCCAATCAACATCTGAGTAGCAAACAACTCTTGTATGGTTATTAGAATCATATAACAATCTTTTTCCAAGAGATCCTTTAATATACTTCAAGATACGAATGATTGCATTCCAATGATCTTCACATGGTGAATTAAGAAATTGACTTACCACACTGACTGCAAAAGAAATGTCAGGACGAGTAATTGTAAGATAATTTAATTTTCCAACCAATCTTCTATACTGCTCAGGATCAGATATAGGCTCCCCCTGATTTGGTAGAAGTTTAATATTGAGATTCATGGGTGTATCAATAGACTTTGAACTCATCAACCCAGTTTCCTCCAAAATATTTATGGCATACTTCCTCTAAGATATAACAATACCATCATTGGGCTGTGTCACCTCAATACCCAAGAAATATCTAAGTTTGCCAAGATCATTGGTCTGAAAATGGTGGAGATGTTGTTTCAAGTGAGAGATGTCATGGTTGTCACTACCTGTAAAAACGATGTCATAAACATATACTATCAAGTAAACACATCCAACACTCGAGTGTCAATAAAAGACATAATGATTTGCTTAACATCGAGTCATACCAAATTGTTGAACAACCTTGCTAAACTTTCCAAACCAAGTCCTTGCGAAGACGACATATCATCCCAGAAGACTCCCCCTGAGCAACAAACCCAGGAGGTTGCTCCATATATATTTCTTCTTGCAAATCACCATTGAGGAAAGCATTTTTAACATCCAGTTGATAAAGAGGTCATTATTGAAGAGCGGTCATGGCGATAAATAAATGAACAGAAGTCATCTTTGCCACAGGAGAAAAGGTATCTCCATAATCCAACCCAAAAATTTGAGTATAACCTTTGGCCACAAGACGAGCTTTAAGGCGATCAATAGTACTATCAGGTCCAACTTTGATAGTAAACATCCACCTGCAACCAACAACGAATTTCCCAGATGGTAACGAGACCAATTCCCAAGTTCCACTATTATGAAGAGAACTTAGTTCATCTAACATGGCCTGACGCCAACCAGGATGGACTAAAGCTTTACGGACAGTTTTTGGAATGATCACAAAAGAAATAGAGAAAAGACATGTATAAAAAGGTAATGACAGTTGATGATAACTCAAAGCAATATAATGGGGAGAGGGATTACGTGTAGAACGAATACCTTTTCGGAGGGTAATGGGAAGGTCAGACTCATGTGTTAGATCTGGAGGAGACACAGTTAGAGGGTCACAAACAACAAGAACATTAAATGTACTAGGAGTGTTAACAAGATTGGATGGAGACAGAGGTGAAGATTGACTTTTAAAATAAAGAGACAACTTATCAAAGGTGACATCTGCAGACACAAAATAACGGTTAAGAGAAGGAGAAAAACATTTATATCCTTTTTGTGATCTTGTAAATCCTAAGAAAAGACATTTATGTGATCTAGGAGAAAGCTTGTCAAGACCAGAACTGAAATTATGAAAAAAACATGTAGACCCGAAAACTCTCAGAAGTAAAGGATGAAGTGGTTCATGAGGGAATAAAATGGAATGAGGTATTTTATTATCTAAAACCGAATAAGGCATGTGATTAATGAGATAACATGCAGTAAGAAGAACATCACCCCAAAAATATTGAGGAACATCTCCATGAATTAAAAGTGTACGAGTTATTTCAATAAGATGTCTATTTTTACGTTCATCTACACCATTTTGTTAAGGTGTATAAGCACAAGAAGTTTGATGCAAAATACCGTGAGAAGTCATTAATTATTTAAAAGGAGACCCAAGGACATAAAGAACATTATCAATGGTTAAAGAAGGAAAAAGTTTAACCATTCCAACACCATGAGATGATACTCTAGAGTCATCAGTCAGTGTAACAGAAGGTAAATAATTAGGAGAGGATAAAGAGGAGAACAAAAATTTGTTACCAGTAATATGATCAGTGGCTCCTGAATAAAAAACCCAAGGACCAAGAGAAAATGATTGGGTCAAACCAGCAAAATATGTATTTGTATGTGTGACAGATATAGTGGAACTAGAAGACTGTTGATCCTTATACCATTCGAGAAATTTATTGAACATAACAGGCATGTCGGATGCAACAGAAGAAGGAGGATCCCCAACAGATAAAGGTGGGGAAAGATTGGTCTGAACAACTGCAACAGATCGAGGAGGACGACCATGTAATATATAACACTTGTTAATCTTGTGACCTAGCTTGCCACAATGTTCACACTTAGGACGCCTTTTTCCCTGTTTGCGAGGGCGAGTCTGGTCATCACGATGGGATGTCAACACAAAAGAATCATTAACAAAATTGAAAATAGTATAAGAAGTGGAAGAAGTCATGAAGAACGGGAGAACAAATCCTAAAACAATCCAAAGTAATCCAATTAACCCACGAAGCACAAATCCAAAATGAGAATACTAAAAATAAGTTTGTCAAGACTAAACAGCGTAGGAGACAACGGGACGACCAACTCCGATAATGGTGATCTCAACGGTACGGTGGTCACCTGACCGAGACAAGCAAAATCATATGTCACTGGTCAAAAAATGAAACTCCGGCGAATTCTCTGGCAGCGGCGGATCCGGTGACTGCTCCAGCGACAGCGGTGACAGTAACGTGAACCAGTACACCAGGTAAGTTCCCTGAAAAGAGAGGTGGGTCACTAATGGATACACTTAAATACCAAGTCTTTCCTTGCCAGAACTTTCCTAGACATGCACTTTCATACTACCAAATAAAATTCAGTAACAAAGATAATTTTTTTCTGATGTGGAGGATCAGCTTACCAGCAACGGTGGGGCGGCTCCAGCAGTGGACAAAAGGCGAAATTTTTTTTTTAAGATAACCTTAAACTTTAGATACCATGTTGAATATAGAGGAAATAATGTTTGCAATTAATCTCCCTTGTGTATAAATCACACATAGGGTAATCTATTTATAATAGAGAGGTACAACTAAAAGAGTAACCGAAAATAAACAGAATAAACAGAAGATATTGTTTGATATTGTGGTTAACAATATCTTAATAATATAATAATATCAAACTATATTTAAACAATATCTAACATACCATAATAAAGTATGCCCTTTTTGTTTTCTATCTTTGATTTGATGCTTTTCATTTGATTAGATTAATAGAGTTCGTGCCCTATTTTTGTTGTGGCTTCTTGTGATATTTGGGTAAAAAAGCTTAGTTTTTTCATTTGGGTGTTGGTAAATTTCTACTAGAATGTTGTTGTTGAAAAATTTGTTGTGATTTATGGTTTTAGGTTTCTGGTTTTATTGAGGTTATTAGTTCTGCTTATTTTTATTTTAATTGAGTCCAAAGGTTTTCTCTGTGTACGAGAGCATCAATTAAATTTACGGTCTTGGTACAATTTAGTGTGATAATGCCAAATTCCACTAAAGGGATAATGCCAATTTTTGTTGTATGTTTAAGCTTGCATTTTGGTTGGCTGATTTTTCTCTTTTATGAAGCTTTATTTTCTCTTAAAACTGGGTCATAATCCTTAAGGTTTTCCTGTATATTTGTGATTGTATAGCATCAATTAAATTTTGGTGTTTGGTATCAATTTCCTATGTGATAATATCAAATTCCTTTTAAGAGGTTTTCCCTTTCTCTTTTCCTAAACTTTTTCTTAGTTTGATTTTAATGGGATCATAAAGGCTTTGTATACTTGTGTTTGTGTAGCATCTTGTGCTATTTTTTTTATTGTTGTTATCAGTTTTGAAATTCCATTTAGATTCATTTAGATTTAGCGTTGTACGATTTTTTATAAATTGAATGTGCATGTTACACATATTTGATAAGTTGAATGTGCATGTTACACATCTTAGATATTTAACATTGAAATCATCTAACATAATCTTTTACCATTTGTTGACAGGCTCTTGTGGATGTTCCCGATATGGTGAGGTCCCAAGTGAACTAAGAGACTGTCACTCACTGACATTAAGATTGATATCAAGAGGATCCCCAAGAAGAAGGATCTCATCCAAGTCATGGAGGCTACCGGTTGGTACACGTTTTTTAGGACAAATGGTTATTAAATTGGAAGCATTCTTTTGTTGATGGATTTGTTTTTCTTGCTGACCAGATGTACAGGTGGGAGAAGAGTTCATGGGACGGAAACTAATTGTGCAGAAGAGGAGAACATCTCTCAATGAATTTGACAGGTTCAAAATTATGTTGGCAAAGATCAAGTTGGTTTCATTCTTCCTGCCTCTATTCTCATTCCTTTACTTTCTAATTTTTATTTTAGTATTGTTCTTCTCATAGTTAATGGAATGGTTTTTATGCATAACAAAAAGAAGGGGTTTGTTATAATCTGTTGATACGTAATGTATTGTTGGTTTAACTTTTTTAACTTTGAGTTAATCTGCAATTTCTTTTTCAATTTTGCAGAGGGCATCCGTTGTGAGGCAAGAACTTGCTAAGCTGAAAAAGAGTGCATCTTAGGCATGATTTCATGTGCAATTTCCAAATTTTGTTATGAATTTCTTTTTACTAGAAATGTTTATTTTGATAACTCTTGTGTTATTAGTGAATTGATGCTAGTTCTCCCAATCTCATTGTTAAAATATGAGATACCTCTTTTGGATTTTGTTTGCACTTGTTTGAATATTGGTTTTTGTCATTTTATCAAGACCTTTTCCTAGAATATGCAAATGTGAGCTCCGAAACTGTTTTTTGATTTTTTTCTTCAGAATGTTCATGTGATTGAATCTTTTTCTTGTTTTATCGTTTTAAATCTTGGTATTTCTATTTATGGCCTCTTTTGTGTAATTAGGTAGTTCTTGGTTTGTATCATACACCATAAACAAGGTTCTGCAAATAAATTAATGAATATAATTCTTAAGGTATAATATGAAGGAGAAAACAGGAAACGTAACCATGTTAAAGAAAAGCATAAAAATTTTGAAATGTTGTAAATTCTATGTAAATGTCATTAACAAGATTTCTTATTCTTCAGAATTTGTATCATAATACTGCAAAGTACCAATATTTCATAGAAAATAATCTTGTAGTTTTGTGGAATTACTTTATTGTCAAACTGCAGTTTTAAAGATCAATTTTGCATTAAATCACTTAATATTAAGTTATAATATTTACGAACTAATTCTCACGATTTACCTTCTTTTTATTTTTCAAAAACAGCAGTCTTTATATTTTAATGAAAAATAAAACATTATTGACTTTTGGTAAAAGTTTTTATTTGTGATTATAAATTTCAATTTAAATAAAATAATTTAATATACTTTTTATTATTTAAAAACTAAATTAACATTTTAGTTCACTTATTAATAACAATAAAATTCAAAAAAAGAAAGGAAAAAATCTCTGGTGAAATTATTAGTGGATCAACTAAGTAACTAACTAAATTAAATAAAAAAATAAAAAACTGGTTGCACCTAAAATAATAATTGAAAAATTGGACGTAAGTGGCATTAAAGTATTTTACTGTGAGTTTCTGAAAAAAACATGAATATTGACGTACCACGTCATTCTAATTTCTAATACTCTGATTCGGATCCACTCTTTCTTGCCCCTTCATAAATACTATTTAATTTTCTTTTATGCTTTTTTTTTCTTGTGTTAATGGCATGATGCATGCAACAAGAAAAAAATGGCAAATTAAATGTCTTATTTAATAAAATGCATAAATTTAGTGGAAAATTTTAACTAATTCAACCCAACATCGAGTTTTTAGAGTCTTGTTGAGATACTCACTAAAATTTGAATTAGAAATAATATATTAAATATAATTGCCACAAAAGTAATACAATTTAAATTAATTATATTATCAATTAAAATTCTATCATCTAACTATTTTCATGAATATTTATGAATCAGTTATTTATTTTATTTGCTAACATTGACAAAAATGGTGGTGTCTGTTAACCAATGGTTAAAATATAAAATAAATAATGATCAATTCCATAGTTAAAAAAAAAAGCTTTTAATTCTATTTGTACATTTATGTTTTTAATTATCTATTCATTTTTTTATTTGAGTTTCAATAGTTTTCTATAAAAAAAATGTCAAAACAATTAAAGATAACCTTAAATTACAATCTAAATGTTTGTTATAAAATTAAACTACGAATTAAATATTTAAAATTAGGTATTATTATTATTATTATTCTAATTATAGTTTAAAATTAAACTAAAATACTTGTTCTGTATTAGAAGTGAATAAACACTCATTTTCTCACTTTTAGAAGAGTTAAACTAAAATATTTTCTTTTTTATATAATTATTAATTTCAGTCTTATAGAAAAAAAAAAAACTTTTTTTAAAAAATAATCTTTTATTACGTAGTAAAGTTTGAGTTATTTTTTATGAGTCTAATTGAAGTCCTTGTTTTTTTGTGTTGGTTTAAAACTTCCAAAAAGTAGAGCATGACGGTTACTTCATATTCAAAAGTTCCTCCTAACAGATAATCAAAAGCAATTAATTTTTTCAATTCAGCAGCTACTTCTACCTGACACAGCACCTCTATTCAATATGCAACCACAAAGCCAAAAGAATAAATCGGGGCATATCTTTTTTCCATCTGAAAATACTCATTTTATAGTATCTGATCAAATCGTTGGAGAAAACAACATGGGAATAAGAGACTTTCATATCAAGCTTAAGGTATGTCCCAATTCCACTGTTCCATTGAGGTTCTTTCATGTTCATGAGAAATAATGGATATCTGAATTGTCTCTAATAAATAGGACTAATAGAAGGGTGCACAGAAAATGTTACTCGGAAAAAATGATCATCACCCTTTTCACATTTTCTTATAGCTAAGAGCAAAACATTAGATATAGTTGTTTTCATGTGAATGAAAAGCAATTGATATGAAAAACCAAGCTTTACATTTGACAGGCATTTCGGGTGAAACGTTTTTTCTTTGGAAGAAGGAGAAATAAATGGAGTGCAAACAAGCCTTCATGGATGATTCCAATATCACATGGCCATCATGTGGTGGAGCATCATGTGATCAAAGGTGGTTCTGATGACTCAGAGTTTGATTCAGTGGTAATACAGAGGGAGCAGATGGATCACACAGAACTGTGGTATTTTGGAATCTTTGATGCTGAAGTTGGAGATGGAGTTACCAAGTATATGCAATCCCATTTCTTTGACAAGAAGCTAAAAGAGGTGAGAAATCAATCTTGTGCTAACTTCTCTCAACTATACTCTCTACTTTGCTGAGCCAAATTAAAGATGCTAATGAATGGTTATTGGAGGCATATATTCATCCATGGTATATTTTCATTTCTCAAATTTAGACATCTATTGAGAGGTAGAGAACAAAACTTCAAATACAGTACTATGAATGTTTTAATGTTGTTTAAGTCAAATATCCACAATATTGTACCGAAGGATTGTTCTAAGATATGATCCCATAAATTTCCTATTTTCGCCCATATTTCTGGCCAATGTTGTGTTTCTGATGTTTCAATTACATGGTAGTGTCATATGAGGAAAAAAGGCAAAGAAACACTGAAGAGAGCTTACCTAGGTGTAAGAACAAAGATCAGAGAGGCACTGAAGCCAGAGGAAGAGACATGCAGAATAGGTTCAACATCAGTGATGGTGATAAATGGAGAAAAGCTTGTGATAGCCAACATGGGAGATTATAGAACTGTCTTGTGCAGAGATGGTGTTGCTTATCAGACAACTGGCAGATACAATCTATCAGCCAAGAGAAATTGGTATAGCAGAATCTTTTCAGGTATCAATTACTCACATTTATTTTCATTATCATTTGAAAGATTTAATTATGTAATGCAGCAAAAATGTTTCACAAAACTAGCTTATATTCCTTATTAGGCATCCAATTGGGATTTCAGTTGCACAAGTATCCCAATTTTTGTTTCTTCTTTTCATCCTTAAGTGTTCACTTTTTTTTTCCACACATCTCATAACGACTGCTATGCATGTGCACAAAAGTACGCATGATAGCTTGTGAATCAGGCATGACAACAGGTACAAAGCATTCTAAAGGCTCAGAACTTGTGGTGGGAGGTGATAGAATCGATTCTGATACTGAATTTTTGATCCTAGCAAGTAATGGCATATGGGAGGTAAGTCCCAGAATAAGATGTAACTTCGAATACTTGGCCATTAGAATGGTTTTAAGGGCCAATTGCGCTCACACCCTTGTGATTGGTTGAAATTTCACACTATATTTCATTTATCCAAGAAACAAAAGAAAGTTTCTATATAAAGTATTAACAAGAAGTGCAATTTGCTGAGTTTTAGATATATAAGGAAAACAAAAACTGTGGATCATGAATCTCAATGTTTGTTTGCAGGTGATGAAGAACCAAGAGGCTGTGAATCTCATAAGACACATAGAGGATCCACAAGAAGCAGCTGAGTGCTTGGCAAAGGAAGCTTTGATTAGGATGAGCAAAAGCAACATTTCATGCTTAATCATTCGCTTTGACTAGTTCCTCAGCATAAGAGCTTTGTTGAATCATGCCAGCACAATTGGTGTATCCTAGTTACATCTAGGTGTTTGTACTTTCATCATGTCAAAACTCAATAAATATGGGCCTAGTAATGAGAAATATGTTGATGACAAAATTATGTATTTTTTTTTCTTTTTGGAATTCCTAAACGTGATCTGCACAAACGTTCAGAAAGCTTGTTCATCTTTTTTTATCTGTACTTACACACCATACAAGATCAAATTGTGTACCTTCTATTTCATATTGCTGTTTTTCCATAAACTAACAAACCAAATGAGGGAATTTGTTGATAAGACTCTTCAAAAGGCCTCAGAAACTAATTAAACAATTCAATTAAAATGTATTGTCATTATAAATTATTTTCATTCTAATATTTAATTATATAATGAGCATATTAGCAAAAAGTTTGTTCACAATATTTCTAAAAGGAGAAATTAAAAGAAAAAGTATTTCTCTTTTGAATGAAAATTTTCTTATACAAGTTCATTTTTATAAATTTTATATAATTTCTTTAAGCTCTTATTTATAACTTTTGTATAATCTAAATTTAAACTTATAGATAAATTTATTTTATTTTTTCTTCTTGTTTTTACAGGTATTTATAGAAAAAATTATCTAATCTTATTGATTGCCTTGGATGTAATGTCAGAATCATCCAAAATTGCAAAAGACTTGAGGCCCATTTATTTTATAGTTGATTAAATTAATCTTGAGTAAATGACATGTGTCACCAAATCAATGTCACCCATAAATTTAAATTGAAATTTTGTATTTAATAAAAAAAATACAATAATTGATTTTTCTACTGTCAAAACAAATAGGGGCATAATTTACACAGACACAGGCTGAACCAAATCCTTAAGGATTCCAATAAATTTTCAAAAGGGGTGTCAAAAAGAGGGCCTAAAATTGCTTTTGCTTAAGAGGCACATTCCAACAGCAGAATTCATAGCTAAGACAAAAAGGCTAAAGAGGATGAAAAAAAAAGATATATTACAAAGCACGCTGAGGCCACAAAAAAAGAATCAAGTAAATGGTCACTGCCTCAGCCTCAAGTAACACCATACATTCTGTCAAGACATCATTATCTTTTTTCCTTTGTTGCTTCGAAATGGTGATAACAAGGAGAAAGAGCGAGAAGCTGCATAATAACGATATGTTCGTCAAATATTAACATGCATGTAGATAAGATAAAGTAAGAGTTCATTCAAGCTCACTTACACGTTTGAGGAGTTGCATTTGGGGGAGTTTCATCTCGAGAGATCAAATTCCTCAGCGTATGAACTAAGACAGCATAAAGAATACCAATATGATGATCAACTTGAGTATATCAGTCATGTTACAAATGACATACTAATATATGGTTTGGCCTTCTATGAAATTGTCACTAACAATAACTTTCGCAAGGCAAAGCAAAAAAGAACAGTTTGGGCAAAAAAAAAACAGTTGGAAACTGAGTGTTGTGTGGATCATGGTATCAACAAAGTGATCTAAAAATGTAATTCCTGCTAAAAATGTATTTCCATTAGGATCATACTACCTTCATTGGGGGAACCATTCTTTCCAATCTCATTTGCTTCAGAACCGTCAATACTGGCATTATCTGATTCCTTGTTGCGCCCAGCAGCAGGTGGCGAGTCATGATTCTTTTTTCCAAATTTTAACAGCCGTCTCAACCCTTTGGAAGATTCCTTCACATGAGGCTTCTCAATCACCTCAGGAATCTTCTCAAGAGTTGAGTTTCTCGAATCAGACACTCGTGATCTAATAAAAGTCTCCATACCAATTGATGCTCCGTCCAAGCTTGCAAAAGGTGCTTTAACATACTCAGAACTTTGTGTACAACAATCTTCCAAAGAAGAAACTCGAGCATGTGGGGCAGGATATGTTTTCTCAGTAATATGAATGGTAGATGATTTTGAAGGTTCTTTCTCTATATCATTTGTTTTAACCTGATTTTGGAAGAAAATATATCAAAAAATCATGCATGGAGAATTCGGATAAACAACTACAACATATGCATGTAAATAACAACAAATCAAATTAACATTTTCTTTCCCTCACAGTTACACGTCTAAAATAACACATCGCTCCTAAAATTAAAAATCGAATATTTTCTCCTAATCATAGAATTGAACATAGACTTCTCTTCCCCCACAGAATATCTGAAAACAATAAGTAAGCATTTGAAGAAAAGCAAAATTTTAAAATGTGTACCTGCTTTGTAAGTTACGTTGTAATTCACAATTAACAATTAGGATTTAATGTAAGCAATACATGCTTGCGTTTTGCCAAGTATAAATTGTACGAAACATATTAGCTGCAGTTGCAGCCTGGAAGGCTAAGCTGATTACAATATTTCATATTCACTGTTAATTTATTTCAAAGATCATACACTACCACCAGACAGGCAGAACATTCATAAACAATTCATCATCATGTTCACATATCTTTTCTTTCATGCATACTGATTACAACAGTTAAATATTATTAAATTTATAAAAAAACACCTTGGAAGATATGGATTGCACCTGGGATTTGTTGTCTGAGGTTTCTACATCTACCGAAACTGATGTATGAACAGCAACATAACTTGGCACTTTCTCAGTTTTCTCCATCACTTTATCATTCTTATACTGTCTCTTTGGTATCCGTGTTTTTTCTTTTGCCTTGTCAACATTACTATTAGAAGCGCAAGGTTTTTCACGTTCAAGCATTACAACAGTCTTCTCAATAATAGGATTGTCATCTTCATCATCAATAGGTGAGATTCCAAATTCATTTTTCTTCAGCAAGGTGCCTTCTGAATTCAAAGAAGACTTGTTCACATTCATCTTTTGTGTCCTCTCTTTAACTGATGATCCGTTATGGACAATGTCACTTGCTTTAGATGTTCCTATTCTTAGTTCAGGGAGGATTGCAGTCTTGCTTTTGTCATGATTCCCAATAGCAGAAATCTTTCTGATATCAGTCTCACTAGCTGCTTTAGTTGTTGAATTTGTCCTAGCACCTCTTGGTCTAACAGATAATGAGGAAGTATGACGAATGGTACTCATTTTAGGTTCTGACAATCTTCTAATTCTTGTCATTGATACCTTAGTATCAGTGGTACCATCACCCTTTTCTCGCTTGGATTCAGGTAGAGAAGGCGCTGATCGGCTTAATTTGTTTGTATTCAATCTGCTGGTTTTTGAGACTTTTGAAGAATCATTGGATCCAACAGAAGCGGTTCTGATTGGAAATCTTTGGAAGGGCGAAGATGACCCTGGCTCTGAATCACTAAATTTAGATCCTTTATAAGAGCTAGGTGAAAGCTTCACGGGAATCTGTTTCTTTGTTTGCTGTGGTGGCATGGATGACTGGGTAACCATTGAATTACTCCTGGCAGCAATTCTCCTTTGCCTCTCCATCTTTAAAGCATCAAGGCGTTTTATCTCTTCCTCTTCCTAGTTATTATCATAAATAAGAAAGAAGAAATAAATAATTTGAGAAACAGGTGAACAACCATGAAAACATGAATCTCCCACTAATCTAAATTGAAACACACGTAAAGCAATGTACTTCAATTGTATGTTAAGCATGTGCAATACAAACATGACTCCGAGTTTTAGGAGTTAGGGGAACATAGATTACCTTCTCTTTCTTCATTTTCTGGAGATCAGCTTTGTAGTTCCGAAGTTTTTCAGCCCGTGCTCGTGCTTCATCCAATGGACTCAGTTTATTAGTCTTTCCTCTCCTTATTGGCCCAACAGTCTTTTTTACATCAGAACTATTTGGAGTAGGTTTTGATTTCAGATCTTTATCCAGCATCTTGGATCTTGGTTTCGTGTGAGCCAATAAACCTTTGTTCTTTTTATCTTGCAACACACTGACCCCAGTCTGAGCCTGCATTTCATAGTCTAAGGCACGATCATAACCCATTGACCCCTTTTCTGCTCCTCGTTCAGGTATCAGACTCAATTCATCTGGCTGATAATTGGAATTCTTCTCTTCCTTACTATGTACCTTTGGGAACTCCGAGTCCATGTCAACAGCATTTCTTTCAAGATTTTCTGAATCATTGTCCCTTACTATATAGGAGTCATCGTTCATATCATGAAACAACTTCCGTTCCAATTTATTGCTCGAATAATCTAGTCCATTAGCAAATTCAACATTGCCCCCCCTTCTATTACCAATCCTTCCATCTATTTCTAAGGATTGCACATCAACGACAGACCTACCATTAACAGACTGTCCCGAGCTTCTAGACAACAAGAAACCATCATTGGATGACCTAGGCATGCAGGTCAATCCATTGCTAATTCTCTGCATATCTAACGCTCCAGTGCCTTGAACTTCATGCATATTCCGCTCAGTAAAATCTATAGGATCATTCACTGCAACATGTTTTTTTCTTCTCACTCGATCAAAATGGTCTTGGTCAACGGTGTGCCTATCTTCATCTACGCCTCTCAGTAAACAATTTTGGAATGCTAGCCACTGTCCTCCATCAGCATCTCTCCCAGAGTCTGTTACTTCCTTACCAGATAAACTCAATCTTTTAAGGGATTTGTCACTGGATCCTCTTCTTTTTGGCATCTTAGCAGATTCCTGAGCTTCTTTTTCTTCATCAGTTTCAGAGGAATAATCTGAACATGATCCATTTCCAGAAGACTGTTCTGTCTTTGTTATGTAATTAATGTTCCGAATGACCACCATATCAGATCTGTGTCTACTTGATTGGCCAGCCTTCTTCCGTCGTTCTCCAGTCAGTGAACCATCCCTCCCCATTTCCATTTCATCCCGAGTTTCAGATTCAGTGTACTGTCCATTATCCATGGAATGCCTTCTAGGTCCCACATTTTGACTAGCATTTAGCCTCGAGTCCTCCATGGGTGAGCAAACTGGCTGCAAAAAATGGCTGTTTCCTGTACAAGTCTGATAGTAGGGTATCCCTTGCACTGGATATGGCTGAAACATTGGTAAAGCACCTGAGGGAGAATGAACAGGCCAAGAGGAGAAGCCATTATGTGTAAAATGACCTTGAACATTATCTTGGTAGCCTGCAGTTGGTTGTCTGTCTACTGAAAACACATCTATAAAGTTTTATACAATAATGTCAGTACATTTTTAAGGGAGAGAAAAACAGACATCAGGAACTTTACTAATTTGCTCAGATCTAGTACTCTTGGCAGTCAGCATTAAAAATTTTGACTCAATAGAACCCCAGCTAGCCATAGATTATATCAAATTGAAAATCCCATATTTGCATGTTATTTGTGGCACCTAAACAACTTCGGAACAGAGCATGACCAGTCCAAAATGTTCTGGAGATGTCAGATACCTGAATTAGTTTTCCCATTACTTTCCCCATTCACTTCAGTATGGGATGTAGTAACCTTATTTCCCATTACTATGCCTGAAGCATTTATTGCAGAGGAGTCAGCAGGATTGGGTGTCACTTCGGCAGATTCAATTTCAAGATATTGGCCACCTTCATGCTTTCTTTTCCATAGAGGTATAAAATTTCTACAAGCGTCCCTACAATGTGACAAAATTAGAATCAGAAAGAATATATATATATATACATATATATATATATATATATGTATGTATGTATGCATGCGCATGGGGCCATGTGTGTGTGCGGGTATATCGGCCAAGAATCCAACGTCTCACTAACTAGTAAAAAATAGTTAAGAAAGACAATTATTCCTACATCAAGCGTGATGCTTCAAAACATTCAGCAAATGACATCAAAGCTGGCATGTAGTCAATGTCAAAACCAGCAGCAGCAGCACGTGCAAATGCCATTCCCTGCTCTTTCTGCAGCACAGATTTACGTGTCTCCAGGACTTTCAAAAGCTGAACTCTAAAACAATACATAAAGAAGGGAATACAATACAGCAGAGGTGTTAACAAATAACTTTACAGTGTACTAAAGCTCAATGAAAACAACACTTAAAAAAAATACCACTCATACATAATGCACACCACACAATAAGGTCTCAATATTAGCTTAATTAATTTTTATAACAAAAATTCAGTCAATGTCACTTCATTCACCATGTTAGGTACAGTATTGACATTAGTCCATTAAATTCAACAAGGAGCCTTTATGCTGAATTGTGAAGAACCTCAAAGGAAAAATTAGGGCGGAAAGGTCAATCACAAAAATGAGAAAAATTTCTAGTGCTTGCCGGGGAAAAAGTTGGAAATAATAGTTTCCATAAAGATCAGATAAGACCTGAAAATTTCTAGATAGCTTATTATCTAGTTAGTCTATTCATAACTCCAAGGGATGGGTGGTGGTGTAGATTTTACAATAGAAGCTATTAAAACAATGTACAATAAATTGTTGGTTTTAAATGTCAATACAAGGAATATAAACAAGGGTAGGACTTAGTCAATAAGAAATCCATTGTTCCCAACTGTAATTCATTTATTAACAAATCTGACAATGTCCCAGTACATGTAGGGCAGCTCAACCCAATCAAGATTTATTTTAAAATGCCAATGGAGAAACAACTTTTACAAAAGTTAGCATAGACTCCTGAAATAATCCCTGTACACTCCCACGAGCTAATATAAGAGCCTTGCAAGTTCTTTTCTTCTTGTTGAAATGATTAGTGATAAAACAGGTCACGAAGGATGGTATCGTTCTGTTGTATTACCATGTTGAGAAGAAAGAAACCAAGAAAGAATATAATGAATTTTGTGTGGTGTGGTGTGTACACAAATGAGTATTCTTATTTATAATGAAGATATACAATAATAAGGGACAAAATCAATATCTAATAATGAGAAATATTTGATAAGGTATTTCCTTATCAAATCATATTATATCTCCCTATTTAATGTAAAATCATATACTTTTACTCATACTTATCCATATTTACTGAGATGGATAATAAATATCTCCAAACTAAGAATAAGTTCTATCTGGTTAATTATTTCTTCTAATGTAACTGAGGTAGCAGTTTCCTCTATGTACTCTGAACATATTACAAAAATTGTTAAGTGATATCCAGGTCAGGCATAGGCACTTGAAGTTAATCAGACACAAAGATCAACTAAAGTTTCTAACTCACTCTTTAAGGGATGATAATAGAAAAGAAAGAAAAAGTAAAGGTTTAAAACTTACTTTGATTTTCCTTCTGACTTGGTGCTTCCATTTGTTTCAGGTGGCTGTGTATCAGACTGACATATCCACACAAACACATTAGAAAAATAATAAATCTATATAAGATAAGGGTATTCACAATTTTCCCAACCTTGTAAAGTACAATAGCATTTTCCTCATTTGTATCCGGCTGAGTCTTCCTACCTGAGCAAAGCAGTAAATCTTCTTAGTTGCAGACAATTATAAATTTCAGCAAATCTTTAAATATATCCAAATTTGTTGAATATAGGTTAGTTAATAGTTTTATACAATAACAGCATGCAATATAAATACCTGTTCTTTCAAAATTACCGTCAGTGCTTTCCACATATTTTATCGGGTTTTCTTCTACCTACAGATAAACAAGTTAATTTAAAAAGACCTTTAATTGCTGTGATTGAATATTAAAATTGATAGATATTTACTTACAAAGCTAATCCCTATCGAATTATTTCCTTGAATTGTAATTGCCTCTTCAATTTGTGCAATTTCAGATTCTATAGTATACACACGCTCCAATATCTCAGGAGTGCTCACAAAGCGAACAAACCTGCAGAAGCAGAGGAAATTAGTTCAGCACGCTAATTTATATGAAATTAAATGTCACCTAGAATAATTCGTAAGAGGACAAACTTTGTGCTTCCAACCTTGGAGTTACTAATCATTTAGTCTAAAAAGTTTAACTTTAAAAGGGATGGTTTCACTGCCATTTCCCCAGTACTTCCCTCTACTTACAATATAGTAAGAATACAAGAAATATAAAAGGAATTTTGGAGTACATACTACACAAAAAAACACAACTTCAAAAACAACATACTAGATTCATGTTAAAGTTGAATATACACATTTAAATGATTGATCAGTGTCAATTCAAATTCGAACATACAAAGATAAGAATAATTAACAAGTCACACCTTTCAACTGTTCCCTTGGTAAACCAGGAGGCGTCACAGCCATGCTCAGGCACAAGAACAATGGAATAACCACCCTTTGCTATTTGATCTTGAGCAGCCTTCAAGTGGGATAGAAATGGATTGAGCAACCCTGATACAACTTTCTCCTTCTTTCCATTCATAGTTATAACCAAGTCAAATCTGATTTAAAAAGGAGGATAAAAAATCAAAATGTCAGGCAGCAAATACCTACAGTTTTGAGTGGGCTTTTGCATAGACCAATTGGTGATCTATCATAGAGAGGGATTGAATGAGGTTTTGCATAGATCAATTACTGACCTATCTTAGAGAGAAAGAATTGTTGAAGACAAATTATTTAAATCAGTTAGAAAATTGGTTGTTCAGACCAACAATAAGCCCCTTTATACTCATTGTAACATCATTTTTTCTCATTTGATTACACTTCTAAATTCCAGTCTTGTACATACTTTTTCCTTAAATATCTTCTATAAACCATGTATTTGAAGCAAAAACAACATAAACCTTCTCAGTAGTATAGCCCATTTCTTAACTGAAACTTATGATCAACAACATTTTTTTTGTAACTAGGAGGCGTTGGGATTCAATTTGGCACCCAACTAATCCCCTACCACCAGTCAGCTCATAACAGCATATTTTTATCACATAACAAATTAACCAGCAAATTTAAAAGGAAGAGAGGCAGAGACATCAGATACAAAGTGTATAAATAAGGAGAAGATAACACTCTGGCTGCAAAATAAAAAATTCAATTAAATCATTTCAACAAACTTCCGAGCAAAACTGAACTGAATCCACGAGACTGCTAAACTAAGTAAACTCTCCTAAATTATTAGAACTGTCAAAAAGGTAATCAAACACCCCAAGTGCTCGAAAAAAATATACAAAACCAACAAATTTCTTCCTTGGTCCTTATTTTCTATTTGGGGTGAGAAATGGCACAAATGGTAAAAAGAAAACAACGGCAATAAAAATGGTAAAATATATTAATGAATGGGGTAACATTATTAGAACTATAAAACACCCCAAGTACTAAAAAAAAACACAACCAACAAACTTAGTTCTTCTTTTCTATCTAGGGTGAGAAATGGCAATAAAGGTAATAAAAAAAAAAGGTACAGTACGCTGGTAAAATATATTTATGAATGGGTGGGGTAACACTATTGTTACCTGGTTCTTGTTGGTGTTAGCTGAAACACAACTGAATCCAATCTTGTAGCAGAGTTCATTGTGAGAAAGACCAAACAAAACCACAAACTGGGTTTTGCTTTCTCAGGGATCACACATGCCTCTAAAGTGAGGTTAAGCTCACATACCCAAAAAGGAAAAAGCAAAGTTCCAAAGTGGGGTTAGACTTTGATGACTCCAAAAGACAAGCTTTGCTTGAAAAACAGGCTTCTCGGCCCAAAAGGGAAAAAGGGTAAGTTGCAATGAATGCTTAGCAAGGGTGTTCAGAAGAAGAGCTTCAATGGCTTCCAGAGACAAGTGAAGTGAGTGTTTGAGACAGGAGCCAACGTTGTTCTTCTTTGGATACCACAACTCATAGAAGAAGGGACCATCATATCAACCTTCAAAATATTCTTCACACACTATAAAAATGGGTGCATTTTTTGGAATTGTGGAAAAGAACTGAGGGCAAAGCAGGGATTTCACAAAATTTGACAAACGGCAAGCTAGTGACGCTATCAGACGCATACATAACCATGGAAATCGACGTTATTTGGTGAAATTACCATGTTAACCTCAAAAAGTCTTCTTTTTATACTGTTTCTTTTGCAGAGTACCGTTGAAGTTGAATTGACACCCTGTTACGTCATAAATGCTTAATCATCGTTATTATATTTTCATCATTTGCTTGCTTTGAAAAATATGACAAATTCGTCTAAAAATTGATTTATAATTCTTATATAATTAAATTGAGATAAAATATATAAAAAATTTGAATTTTTTGAATTAAATAATTTTTAGTAGAAAAAAATAAGATTAACTTTTTTATATAATTCTTTTATAAAATATATAATATTTTTAAATTTTTTTATCTCATATTTTTTATATTTTTTATTTTAATAATTATATATCTAATTATTTTTAATATATTATATATTTATTATATTTATGGTAATTTTTATTTATTTTATAAAAAAATACTATTACAAATAAATTTATTATATAATTATTATATTATAAAAATATTATGTGATTAAATTCAATTGAATCATTATTGAATTTTTAAATCATAGATTTACGTAGTCATCAGTTTTAAAAATTAAAACAAAAAATTGTATTTTGTAAATAATAATAATAACATTAAAATTTATCAACGCGACGCTACAAAATTCAAAAATGCTATTAATAATTTTTTATATAAGTAATATTGCTTAAAAAATAGAAAAAAATTATCTGATTTTTATTCTTAAATATTATTAATTATTTTAATAATTAATATCTCAATTCATATTTATCAAAATAAAACAAATTTAAAAATTATTTTATCCATTCTAAACAAGAATAAAAACTTAAAATATTTTTATTTTTTATTTACAAAATAACAATAATACTATAATAATATATAATATTTATTAAAATAATTAGAAATAGTTTAATTTTAATTTTTCATCTTATAATTTAAAAAAATTGTAAAAATATAAAAATATTAATTTGTATACAAAAAATAAAATTGATTATACGTTTACCATTTAAATATTATATTAAATTAATATTTAACTATAATAAGTAAATTACTTTAAAGTTAAAAAAATAAATATAAATAACAAATTTATAAATAATAAAATTTATAATCCTTTAATATAAATTATTTAAAAATAATGTAAAATAACAAAATTTATTTAAAATGAAATAGGAGTTACAATGCCTAGGAATTAGATTAGAGATGCTATAATAGAAAGTTCAAAATTTTACGTATATATTTTTTAAAATGTATTTTTTTCATTTAATATATATTTTTTAGCTTTAGAAAAATATTTTATGTAATTTAAAAAAATTATAATTTCTTTGTTATTTTGTTCAAAATATATAAATATGGTGTTAGTCAATGTTTTCTAAGACATTGAAAAAAAGAGTCAAAGGTATTACAATAATTAACACATAAATTTTTTATTTTTTTTAAGATGATTTCACAAACTTATTTTAAATTAAATATAAGATGGGTTGAATCATTTTAAAAAATAGATACATTAAAATTAAAAGAAAATATTATATATATATATATATATATATTATAATATTATAATTTAAATTATATAATTTAATTTAATTTAATTTATTAAATTGTAATATAATATTTTAATATATAAATTCATTTAATAAAAATATTTTAATAAATAAAAATTTTAAAATATTTATATAATTAATATTTAAAAATATATATAATATATAAGAAAAATATTGTCAAACTAAACGCTACATCAATATACGATTTATATATGATAGATGGAAAATTATAATCTGTCTCACTCATTCTTAACATATTAGAGACAAAATGGATCCAAGATAAACCGTCTATTATTACTAATATTTTTACTCTTTATTTTTTAATACTTTGCTTAAAAATATTTAGCTACAAGTATGAATATTGAATAGGTTCAATAATAATAACTATTGTTACTTGTGATAATCATGTACATAGTTAAAGACAAAAAAAGTAAAGAAAAATCTTAAAAAATAAAGAAATGAAAATAAAAAACTTAAAATAGTATTTCACTTGCCTTTGTATTATGGAATGTTGTGTTTTTTCTTTAATACTTGAAATAGGTTAAGTCCTAGAATCAATAATTGTGTGTGTTATGTAGGCTTTAAAGGGAGAAAAATGTAGCATGACATGGACTAGTTATGGAGAGTCTCTTGAGATATTAATTTTGATAAAGATATTTCAACGGAGAAAATAATATCAACATATATTAAAGTTAAACGATGAGTAATATCAATTAAAAAATAAAAAATCAAGCATTATTTATTAGAGGTAGGGATTACAATTAAATTCATATACATGATATTGATTTGTTCTTATCCCGAGTTTGATAAAGAAAATTCGAGTTGATTGGGGACAAGAATGGGTAATACAATCCACACCTTGACCCCGACTCAGTCCTCGCCCAAACTTTATATTTAAATTTTAATTTTAAAATATTAATATTTTTAAAATATTTCTTTTTATTTTTCTATTATATATAAGGTTATTTTTTTTATTTTTCTTCTACCCATTTTTTTAATTTTGTTGTCTTTTTTAATCTTTTATATTAATAATTTTATTACATTATTATTTCTCTTAACTTTTAGTTTTTCACGTTTTTTTAATCTCTCCCATCAATTTTTTTTTCAATTTTTTTAACTAATTTGATGAACGCAAAGTTAAATTTTTTTCTTTATACTTTTTAAATATTTTACATAAATCTTAGTAGTAACTAATATGATTTTATTTATAATTTATATTATTTAATTAATAATAATTATAAATTATAAAATTATAAATATTTATTTATATATAAAAAATATATAGTAAAATTGATTTATTATAAATGTAATTAACCTTTTAAAAATAATATAGATCGGGGATGAGGGACGGGAAAACCCGAAACCAGTGGGAAGATAATGAAAACTTAATTTTTAACTTCGATGGAGATCGGGAGTGAGAACGAGATGGTTAAAAAGTTGAGGACGAGGGATCGGGAGACAAAACCTACCCCGCCCAGTTGTCATGTATTTGGGTGAAACCATAACTTTTACGTAAGAACTCAATATATAAAAATTAATTATTATATTAAAAATATATATATATATATATATATATATATATATTATATTTATTCTTATAATTTAAATTTTAGAAAATACTTTTATTTTATTTTTTAAAGGAATTTAAAATTTTATTTTAGATATCTTTAAAATTTATATGAATTTATAACTGATAAAAAAAATTATATCAATAATTTATATTTTTATATTATACTATATATATACTAATGGTTATAATAAACAAAAATAATAAAAAAATTATTTAATTTTTTTACTTGAAAAAATATTATGAAGTATTTCTTTTATTTTTTTCATTTTATTCCTTTTTTAACAGAAGATAAAAATATAAAAATAATTATGTTATAAAGATAAAAATTTAAAAAAATGTCTTATTGAACCGAATATAATTTAAAAAAAAACTAACTATTAAAACAAATAAAATTTTATGTAATAGATATGAAATTATAAAAAAAAAAGATAAAATTGAAAATTATAGAGAAGAATGTACAATACTTATTTTGTAAAGTGAAATTGTAAAATTGTGAAAAGAGAAAAATATAAAAGTTAATGAGCAATAAAATAAAAATATGAAAAAAAGAAAAAAAATCTAATAGAAAAAATATTAGAGTGGGAAAATAAAAAAATGAAAAAAGCAAGATAAAAATTTTAAAGTAGAAATAAAAAAAAAGAAAAAGATGTAAATGAAAATTTGTATAAAAAATAAATATGATATTTATTATAAATAAAAAATAAAAAATAGTTTTAATTTTATTTATATTTATAAAATATTTTAAAAAAAATCTATAATATCCTAAATTTTCAAAAATATTTTATTTATGTAATCTAACTAAATTATCAATATTACATATATAAATATTACTTATAAAAATAGACCAAAATATTTATCATCGTATGGATGGCATCGAAAAGGTAAAGAAAGTTGCTTAAGGTAAAATATAAACTTCTCAAAAAAAAATTCAATTTTGGACAAAAAAGTTGAACAATTGATAAAATGTTTAAAGTAATTTAGTTTGAAATGGATTTTAGCATCTCAAATAGTAAATCTTTTGATTCATCCAAAAATGCCATGTTTGATATTTATATCATAATTTCATTTATATTATATACTTCCTCTCTTCAAAAAAATTAGGTCAAACCACCTCACAAATCAATCAAAGTCACTAATCCTATTTTTTCTACTAACCAAAGTGTCTTAAAATTAGCTTTTAGGTTTAATAACCATAAAATGTGTCTTAAAACAAAAATCAACACTACATTGTTTTTTTGTTTCCTCCATTATCCGCATGATGTAACTTTCAACTCTGAAGACATCGAAATAAAATGAACAAAATAAAATTGTAACACGTTATAATCCACAACTTAAAAAACTTAAATACCATAACTTAAAAGCTCTTACAATTAGAAGTAAATGAAGTTCCTAGAGCTTTAGATCCAAATCTACCTCTTCCACGTTTGAGTTGTTGTCATCATCTACATTCACCAGATCAATGAAATCGATCTTCTTTATGGGTTTCTCCAGCTTCAAGATATATGCCTTAGACCCATCATCATTAGTACTTACATCACAAGGAAAAACCTTTGGTGGTGGAACTTGCATTTTCCTAGCTGGTAATGAGGATGAACCAATTTGGCTAACATTGAAAAATGGGTTTCTGATAAATGGCTGAGGCATCTGCATAATACCAGGTTGTGGTTGTGGTTGGAAGATCCTACCATCACCCACAGTAAGTTGTGGTGGGAATTGACTTGAACCCAATTGCTTTTGAGAATTGACATGTTGTGATGAGGAGTAAAGTCTTCTAATTGCAACTTCTTCTTGTGCCATGTGAGATTCAAGATGGTTTAGGAGGGCCTGAGTGGTAGTGAAAACTTGACTGCACAACTTGCATCCTTTTGGGCCTGTGTTGTTGTAAGGTTCAGGGAACTGTGCATAGTTTAACACATCATTGTAGAGATGGTTGGTCATGGTGATGGTGGTGGTGCAAGAGATTTGGGAAAATTAGGTCAAGAGGGGTGTCAGAAAAAAACTAGTCTTGGCTTGGTAACATATTGGGGGTTTATATACATTCTTATTTGAGATAGATATATTAATTGTGGATACTCTTTTAAGAATTTGGTATTTATGGAATTGACAACTAATTTGTATAAAAAAAATCACATTCTAAATTTAAAATAGTATTTGATTCATTTAATCTTGTTCATGGGAAAGAATACTAATGGAAAGATAAACAAATAAAGTATTTCTCACTACGAATTTTAATTTTGTTATATCTACCTAAAATGTGTTAGTGGATTCAATAAGGTAAAAATTTAAACTTCCCAAAATGAATTTTTCTATGTTGTACAATAGCTCAAGCTTTAACTTCTAATTAAGAAATACTTTAAATTTGTTCGTAAAAAATGTAAATTTAATTTTTACATCATTATATCATTTATATTATATTTTTTTCTTCTATTTATATAATTATTAAATTCTCTATATTTATGGTATCTAATTGTGTAGAATATTTTTCCAATGACGTTAAGTTTATATGTAATAATAACAAAAAAATAATAATATTCTTCCTTATTTAGGGAGTATGAAAGTGGATGATATATATATGGAATATGAAAAATAGTGATGATTTGCCAAAAAGTTTTCGTGCTCAAATGTAGAATGTTCATACTTTTTTATTGAATACAAATTAATTTAAAGATAAAAAATTTAATTATTATATTGATTAAATTAAACATTATTTTAACTAGACTGATTTTTAAATTAGAATTTTAAGTTGTTTAATAATAAAAATTCAAAAATGTTATAAATGTAACCATTGCGAGATAAACGATTGTTTGTATAACAAATTTACAATATACATAAACTTTTTCTAATAATATTTTTTTCAATTTATTTTAATATAAATAAATTATCATCTCTAATTAAATAATTAATTTTGAGAATATAATAGATTATAATTGATATATGTAAAAAAAATCTTAATATTTATTTCAAACAGATAAAGAAAACAAATTCAACCACAATTACTATAAGAAAGATTAAATTAATTATGATAGTTTGAATATAAAATAAATTATAACTAAAGGAAACATTTAAAGTTTTAACTTCAATTATATACTAATGTTCAAAAACATTTTTTTTAACATGATAACAAAAATAAATTTAACACATTTAAAACGTAAAAATTTTAAATTGTTTTTTCAAAATATAAGATAAGAAATTAAATATAAAAAGTAGGATAAAAGAGGAAAGGTATAATAATGTAGCCAATTTCTTAGTGTGAAATAAAAGCATCTAGAATGCAAGAAAAAGGTTTTGGAAGGAACAAAACATCTTCGTGCTAAACCCTACAGACATCATTTAGGAACCAGAATCACAGATTTTAAGGTTAAAACGAAAAAGATCATCCATGGCAGAAACGAAAGAAGGTTCAGGTTCGGAGATGTCTCTGAAGGATCAGGGCAACGAGTTTTTCAAGTCAGGAAAGTATCTCAAAGCTGCTGCACTCTACACTCAAGCCATCAAGCAAGACCCTTCTAACCCTACTCTCTATAGGTACCTTTTTTCTTTCAAAAATTTCTGCTTTTTTCATTTAGGTATCATTATTCACTTCTTTCAATTTCTGGGTTTCAAAATTTGCTTCAGCATTTTGCTTTTTCTCTCTTGTTTATTTTGTGTCCCGTGAAATCACAAAGGGGTTTCTTCTCTTCTTTTGTTATCATCATAATTTTAGTTGGGGTTTGGGTTTCCATATAGAATGTGAAGTGTCAGTTTTTATTGCCAGTTTATTATCTGAGTTTCAAAATCTTAGTCTTTTAGTGACAGTTTGACATGAGCATGTGTGTTGTTTGGATTGGAGTTAGATCGATATCACGTTTAAGGGTTAAGCTGGAGCTTTTAAATAGGAAAAGAAGATTCCCTTTTCATCAAGTTTATTTTAGTTAAAGTTGAAGCCGTTACATTAGTAGACTGGAATATACTGAACTTTATGGTCTGTTTGATATGGTGGTGAGGAAGCAAGTGAGGAGAGAGAAAAGTTTGAAATTTGAATTGAAGGGAAAGTGGAAGGACATAAAAGTAAATTTTTTCCAAAATTTTATCTGTTTTCCTTTCATTTTCTCCCCAAACAAACAAAGAATTTGTATATATATATATATATATATATATATATATATATATATATATATATATATATATATATATAATCTCTATTACAGCATTTGAAGTTTTGAACAGTGATACTAATTCAGAATTCAGATCATTCACATGTGAGATATTTTGCCTGAACTATGAATAGACAGTTGTCCTGACTCCTGATGTAGTTTCTTCTGTTTTTTTGGTGTCTTCCAGTAACCGTGCTGCAGCATTGCTGCAATTGGATAAGCTTAATAAAGCACTTGATGATGCTGAGATGACAATCAAATTAAAACCCCAATGGGAAAAGGTAAACGTTTATCTAATTTTATTAAAATTTGAGTGTCTGAACCTTTGTAATACAGTTGAGTGATGCTGCTTGCATACACTTCCAGGGATATTTCAGGAAGGGAAGCATATTGGAAGCCATGAAACGATATGATGATGTATGTATATGATAGCTTATTGTTTAAATTTAATTATTTGTTCTGCTTTGATTTTGGATTTTGATCTTATTATGTATAATATTTGTTTGTAGGCTTTAGCTGCCTTTCAGATAGCATTGCAGTATAACCCCCAAAGTCAAGAAGTATCGAAAAAAATAAAGAAGATAAACCAACTGGTGAAAGATAGCAAGCGAGCTCAAGAAGTGGAGAACATGAGATCCAATGTTGACGTGGGCAAGCATCTGGATACATTGAAATCTGAAATGGTTAGTATACATGTATTCCCAATCTATAACTAGGAGTGCTCAACAAGTATGTGCTTTCTTAGTTTTTCTTTTGAATTAATTAGTATATGATGTGGAAAGGGTATGGGAGAAAGAGAAGGGAATGAGGTATTCTAGAAGAGAGAGGAAAAGGAGTGAGAAATGCAGTAGAAAAGCGGAACAAATACACAAAGAGGTAGAAACAAGTTTTGGAATGATGTATATTCTTAAATTGAGTCTAAAGTATCAAATTCAGTGCATAGCTGTCCTTATGTAGGCTAACCTCATAGTTATCATTCCCAAATAACAACTGAGAGTGGCTGACCCGAAAATCACTATAGTTTTACGAAGATTCAAAAATACAAATTGAATATTTTAGACTACACTTACAGAAATTCAAAATTTGAGATATATTCATAATTAGTATCCAGAAGGCTTAGTCTTTATGCTAAATACACAAATCAACGATAATGAACAAAGGTTGAGCAACACTGTCTCAAAGCTCAGGCAGGCCCATATGAGAAAGCTTAAAATAAGCAAAAAAAGACGAGAAGGATGGTTAAACTAAGGTTTTCTACTCTTTAAATTTTTTTCAAATAAAAACAATCAAGACAAAGAATCTTTTGCAAAGCAGCATTTATTATATAAGGCAGATTATTGGTTTATCTTCAAAATAAATAATTTGAAAATATTCTTTAAAACAAAATCTCCAATGAAGTCCCCATTGAACACAGTTACACATGATAATTTATATACTAGTTCATCTCATAAACCGGGGGCTCTAGTCCTTAATCCTTAACCAAAAAAGCCAAGATTTGCACTATCTCTTTCAACTGTTTATACTCAATTTTCACTGCCTAATTCTTCTTTACTAGACTGTTCAAGCTAATTCCTAAGTACGTTTTCATCAAATCTCTTAGCTGAAAAACTATTTTAATCTTTGATTGTGCTGCTGAAATCTCTGTTCCTCTAGCTTTCTTTCTAAGATAAATATTCTATTCTTGACTTAACATACTGTATCTCTCCTCGGTAGTCCATTTTTTTGCACAATTTTATGACAAGGACACATTTTTCAAGAGAATTTGACTTTCTTTAAGGTACAGTTATGAAATTCCTGAAATGACCTAGTGATTTTTGAAGACATTTCAAAACTTTGGAAACTTGTGTGTATCTGTGAGATAACCTAATGTTTTGTTAATATTTGGGGTGTCAAGCGTATTGATTCTAATTTCTAACCATAATTTTGACTATTTATATATGGTTGGTTGTATTGTATGATTCAAAATTTTGCCATCCTTGGTGCGGCTAGTAATTTATATGACAATAAGCTGTACGAATGAATAGAGACTCCTATTCTCAGAAACATAGAAAAACACCTGAAAAAATAAACAGAATGTTCTTTCTGTATCTTGGTTTCTAGATGTTTTATTTTATGCATGTTATTGATATTTATAGCAAGATGTGAAAGAATTTATTTTTCCGTGTAATCATGGCTCATTTAACATTTTCCTTTGTGAGGATTAAAATGATCCCCTCCATATAGGCTGGAAAGTATGGATCTGAAGAATGCTGGAAAGATTTGTTCTCATTCCTTGTTGAGACTATAGAGACTGCTGTCAAATCATGGCATGAAACTTCTTCTGTGGATCCAAGAGTTTACTTTCTTCTCGATAAGCAAAAAACACAGACTGATAAGTATGCGCCAGTTGTGAATATTGATAAGGTATGCATGTTCTTATTAAATCTTTTTGCAATTATAATTGTTGTTCCTTTCTTTTCGTGCTTGGATATCTGATTTATAAAATTTATGCTTAATATTCATGCTTATGGTCTTTGTTGTTTGCTTATGACTATCAACACTTACAACTTCCCTGTATGGTATTCTGAGTTCTAACATTTTTATTTTTCTCATCTTATTTGGCAGGCCTTTGAATCACCACATACGCACGGAAACTGCTTTTCATTTCTTAGGCAGTACGCTGAGGAGTCTTTCTCCAAAGCAGCGTGCTTGGTGACTCCCAAAAGCATTATTGCTTATCCACAGGTAACTTCTGATTACTTAAAGAATTGAGGATTGAAACTTCCCTATCAGTTACTGTAAATGGTTAAGAAGTTCCAGTTAAATGGGAAATTTTATTACAAAATTTAGGGGTACTTTTGAGGCATATCACATCTTCACTGGGAAAGTGAAGAGAAGTCATATGTTTAATCTCAGGTTGCAGGGTGTGCGAAATTCAGACCTACACAAATGTTTAAGCTGACCAAGGTATCAGTTTAGGTGGGCCAGTGTGAGTATAGGTAATTCAGATATTGTCATGTCCATTGGTGTTTTGAATTTAGTGGCGTATCACTACACGAAAAGGAAATAGGAAAAGGTCTGTAGCATCATTCTTTAGTTAAAATATCATAACCCTTGATATCATTAGTTTTTATACATTACGTACTCCAGTCATGACCACAGCACATGGAGATGGTAAAAGAGAGACTGAACTGAAGAGATATGTCTCCCATCCAAATGTCTTATGTTTATTTAAATTTGTACTTTGATACAATAGATCTTTGTTTCTAAATGAAGCTTGTCAAATACTTATTAAGCCTGACCTGGTATTCTCACTAGGAAAAGTGATTTTTGGTGACTAATGAGCTTGTTGAGAAGAGAGAAATCAATAAGGCATATAATGACTTTTGTGTGTTTAGACCACACCAGGAACTATTCAATTTATGGGGACGAGAGCATGTTAAATTACAGCAGTTTTACAGAAAATTCAATTTTCCTATTTTAGACTAGTAACATAAATATAGAATCAGTCTAACTGATCCGAATATCATCATTCATTCCTACTATCATATCTATAAAATTCTAATATATCTAAATGATTCTTAGAGAGCTCATCACATCCATGATGATGTATTAACTCATAAAAGATGTGTTGGTTTTAAAAGGGCAAAATAGGTAAAAGAAAGAAAATAAAAGCTCCCCTTTCCTTTCCAAAGATGTGTTGTCCTTTTTTACTTTATTACTTCATTTTTAATAATATTTCTTAAGTTCAACTTTCCCATGCAAGCCTACACGTAAGATATTAGCTAGTGACTAGCTTTACACTTGCCATTTCATCCCTTCTTTCCCCTCCCCCCCCCCTTTATTTCTTTCCTTGAATCTATACTAGTGTCCCCCTCTCCTTTTGGGTGGGATATTGACTACCTGGACCTGAGTGATACCATTAAGTTTGTGCAAAAATCAAGTTCCTCAGTGACCGTTTATATTTAGGATTTTCTTAGTTGTTTCTCTTGAATTTTGTCTCGGAGGTATCCTCTCCACACAAATTCTTCTTTTGGGGGCTGTACTGGTGCATTACTTGACCGGATATGCTTGACTATCATCTTCATCTGTTATTCTTTTGTACATGGAAATCTATCTAGTCAATGGTCATTTTCGACATATCAGCCTACAACCTCTATTCCATGTGTTTTTTAGATTGATTGTAAAGTTCAAAATGCGTACTTACTCATTCTGTTAGAATTGCAAACTCTAAACGACTGCAGAATCTATTAATGATATTGTATACCTGCAGGTCTGGAAGGGCCAAGGATCAAGAAAGTGGAAACATGCACAGAGTGACGGTTTCTTTGTTCAATTTGAGTCACCCTCTCTAAGAAGGCTCTTTTTCATACCTAGTTCAAATGAAAAGGGACAGACATTGTGCAGGTTTCTCTCCAACTATCTCTTGCATACACTTATGAATAAGTTTTGTAACTCATGGACACTGATATTGCATGGATCAAGTGTTCTTTTGGGAAGAACAAGGATAGATGCTTATAATAATTGTCTAATCAACTTTATTCTCTTTTCCTATTGTTACTATCCTGTTCACTAGGGTGATAAACTCAGCTTATTTTAGGCTTTTCTTCCCCTTAAAAGAAGTTGACCCAGACAAAATTTTAAGAAAAAGAGCTTTGAAAACCTATCTTTTTTAATGAAGAAAGCTTTGACAAAAAAGGAGCTCTAAAAAAAATTAGACTTAAAAGTATTGACTTCTACTTCTCCTTTGACTTTTTTACTTCAAATCCTAGACCTAAAAGCACATTATCAAGTAACTTTTAACTTCAGAATAACTTCTATGTTAAAAATTTTATAGAATTACCAGAAGTTCTAGAATATAATGCTTATGCACTGATAGTATAAAATAGTTTTACACTGTCATCTGATCACACATCACCATTGATATACGTTCTATGCTATTCATTTAAAAAAGAAACAACTAACTTATCATACACAGGGTCTGCTTGGACAAGTTTCTTTTCGTACATAAGAAGAAAAAATGAAATTAATTAGTTTGTATAAATTCTCTCATATAGTTTCTCTAAATTCTCATTTTAGACGTGGTATAAGCTAATTTTAATGTGTGGAAAAATTCCTTTCATTTTTTTTTTTCTGATTTAAAAGTGTTTACGGACAAGCTTGTTCAAACAAGTCTATAGGGGTTTGTGATTGGATGACAATGTAAAACTATTTTATATAAGTACATAGCTGTTTTCCTCAAGATTTCAACCTTAAATTTTGAGCTCTTGTTTTTAACTTGTAACTTTTAATTTAGGTCAAGCACTACTGTTGTTAGGGATTAACTAGTTAAAACTATTTTGTTTGCTTTTTTCAGGGATCCGGAAGTTTTGGACATCGGTTCTCATGAAGTTCTTCCCCGGTTATTCAAAGAAAAGATGCCTGGATCTTAATGTACTTCACTAGTACTTGGTGTATATTTATTTCAAATGGTGAACATGACAGGCTCACATGAAGGTTTGCTTGTTCAGCTAATACAAATGCAATTTGGTGACGTTTTGTTTGCCTTCTTGGGATGTGACAGATGCTGGCATGGTGGTGTGCTTCATAATTTTGTTAGATCCGTATATTTATTTATTAATTATTTTAAATTATCGAAGCCATCAAGGAGTTGCATTTTTGGTACCTTTTTTTTTTTCACTCTGCCGATCTGTTCTTGTGGTTTGGAAACTTTGACCTTAGTTTGTTTGCACTTCTATGTTTTGGCCAGGCAAGTATTCAAGTAGTTAGCATAGATATTTTATCTGTAACTTTTTGTGGTTTAGATCTGAATATTGAATTTGGTGGTGGATGATGTCCAATCTGTGCATTTATAGTGTGAAGAATGTTTACACTGTCAACTAATCACAAACCATTATATATGATACATTTGTTGACTTTTTAAATAACCACTTTAAAAGTCATATAATCATGATTTCTGATTGATTGATAGTAAATTTTTTACACTGATAGTGCTTAGAAATTCCACTTATTTGTATATTGCAAAGGAAAACTTCTACTGCTAATTGTCTGTTGTAAAGAACTTATTATAGGATCCTTTTTAACATGAATTGTGATAACATAACATAACCTATCATTTTATTCAAATTTTGAACAGAAATATCTGGTATTAAAAATACTCTTATGATTAAGAAGTTCCTCAAGTTTTCTCCATATAACTGAGGTAATTCAGGTGCCCTGCAAAATATAGATAAACACATTTTTTTCATATTTGGGTGTATTAAGAAACAAAAAACAGTAACATAATGTTAGAGTGCAAAGTTTGGTCACGATGATGGGTGTTAGAGAGACATTTGGTAACATATCGTCAACACCCAATTTTGTGTCATTTATTTGGTATTAAATGAAGTCCCGGCAAAAGTGGATCATGTTCTTGACTTGTGGTCAGAAAGGAGTAGATCACTCATTCTATATATGTTAAGGAATCAGTGAAAACATTACTGTTATGAGCACAAGATGAAATCGAAGCACTAGGAGAATTAGCAGAGGAACATAAACCTGGTATAAGTTGCTCCACCCTAAACTAAATCGCTTATTATTGTAAAATTTCACGTTTTGGTCTTTGTGGTATATGTTAATACTCTATCTTATTCGTTGTAAACCGTATTTTTTACTCAAAACAATTCTATTTGAATTAGACAAGATCAGTATACCTTTTGAAGTATTTAATATAACTGCACACTCAAGTTGAATTCGAGACTATAGTTTAAGTTGGAAAAATTTGAGTTAGAGTGCATGATTTTTTATTTTTGATGGTATGTTATTTTAGTAGAACTTGATGAATAAGAACATATAAATAGATTTTTAATTTTCTGATAGTAGAAATGATCAATAAGAATATATGTATATATCTCCTTTTTCCAGAACATTAATTTTTATATAAATCTGTTTATTTCAAATTATATAAAACTGAATTTTGTTTTTCTTTATTGATTCGAATATGATCATCTGTTGATTCTATATTTTGGAAATACAGTATGGTTTGATGTTTCGAAGATTTTCAAAATGTTAAAAATATGCAAAATTGTTTTTATCCTGAACAAGACGTGTTTTTTGTTTGATCCTACGATTCTTTTTTTACAAGGTTTGCATATAAATTTCGGCATGTTGTCTAAGAAAAACTATGAAATTAATGTTGATTAAATATTATCTTCATTTAAAAAAAAAAAAAAGAGTAATTACCCCAATCAAATATTTTCAATTTTCAAGAACAACATAGAAAGTTTTGTGAAAGTATACTCTATTATTTTTAAATGTTTCCTAATTTGAGCAATATTTAAACAAATCACTATGTATTATTTATCAATGTTATTAGAATTGGATTAGTAAGTAATATAATTGAGATACTGGATTAACGAATTAATAATTAAACATATGTCTATATTAAATCTAAAATATTATAATACGTGTATTATATATAAATTTAATTGATGTGTGTATATTCAAGTGTCAGTGTCAAAATCAACAATTCGATTCGACATATTTCGATAAATCACTTAGCAAATTTATGTCGGTTCAAACTATATTAAAAATATTATTATTATTATTATTTAAGAACATTGTTATTTATACATGATTTCATGGTTTAAATATCTATTTATTTCAAATGATAAGAATATTAATTATTGTGCCCCTGCATGTGCAGTGCAACATTATCCAAGTTTAGAATAAGACATTGAAACTTCAAAACTACACAACAAACCATGTTACATCTCTTTCATTTTATTTATCAAATTTTAATATGACTTACCCTCTTAACATTTGTCGCAGAATATTTGAATAAATACTTTGAAATAAACTAGTATATAGAAGTTCTTTTGAAATAGTTTCTTTGCATTATTTATTTTTAGTGTATAAATTAATTTTAGTTTAGGGAAAATTTATTTTGTTTTTTCTCTCTTTTTTTCTCTTAGAAGTGATTATAGAAAAAGTTTTCCAAACCATCCTAAATACAATTGCTGTTAGGAAATATCCCACTTCTCAAAATTTATACAAATTTCACAAACAGTTAAACTTTGAACTTCACTCAAAAATCGAAATTCTTAGCAAGCTAGGACCCTGAATTTGTAAATGCAGAATATGATATATGTCTTAGAGTGTAGAAGGTTTTGGACATGTGGCAAAACGGGTACCCTTTGTTACCACATCAAATAGTATTACCAAACTAAGTGACATGACTTAGCCTTTATGCAAGACTATTATTGTTACAAGACATGTTCCTTTGAGTTGTTTTTGTGTTGCACTATCAATTGAATCTTGTGGTCAGAACATGTCACATGAGATTGGTTAGTAGCAGTACTCACATCATGATCATGTGCAGTAGTAATTAGAGTTTGTATGCACTGTACTTGTAGAGCCACACTCACTGACTATGGACCTGTCAAGCTTTATTGACCAAGGATATTGGTAGTTTTGGGCAGTGACACCAACATGTGAAGATGACCTCTGCATCCTCAATGGTCTTGGGACATTTCTACCTTCCATGGAAGGCCTTCTCCGGCTTGGCTGCCTCTCGAACGAATCCGGCCTTGCTTTTGGTGCACTCTGTGATCTGGCTTTGGCCCTTGATGATTCTGTGTTGGCCATGTAGTTTGGAAACAAAGGGTAGTCATAGGACATGGGTTCTGTGTAGGCTGGTTTAGGGAAGGCAAAAGGTAGCTTTGTGTTATCCACTCTTGACACTGCTGAGTAGTAATAGGGACTACTTTGTGCTGTGCTGAAGGAACACTCTTCAAAATGACCACTGCATGCTCTTGGACTCAATTCTGTCAGTGTTGATGGTGCAGGTGATGCATTGCAGTTTTCCTCCTTTGAGTATGAACCATTTGATGAATAATATGCTGAAAATCTATGATCAGGAAGTTCGCGATTCGCAGTGCTGTTTCTGCCTCTGGGGTTACCTTTTGGTTCATAGACAGACATCTCAACAATCTTGGCATTCTCTTCCAACTCCAAACCACTGTCCATTTCCTAGATGAACAAAAACCACATTCTATATCAATCTATAGAAGAACATACTGTTATTTTCCTTCTTATTTTTCTTTTTGTTTGGGCGGAGTAAATTAATTTAGTTTCCATATTCAACATCGCAAGATATTCTTCACATAAAAGAAGCAACTCTGTATTGGCTTGCATGAATTGAGTAGTGCCAAGTATGTTTCATTTATATATGTGTCTTCATATTTACAAAATGCTTCTCCAATTAATTCAAAATGAAAATTTATCATTTTCGTACTACCTTAGGCTGAAAAGACCAATGCTTATTATTCATTCATTAGATGATGCAAATTCACAATCTCTATACACAGAAATCAGAAAATTTTCATTGTAAAATTTCAACAAACCATCATTCTACAATTTGAAAGCTTGTTGGCAGCTGTTATTGGACTCACATTATACATATGCATGAAGAAGTTGTCCTCTGTGGTTATTCTGTAGGGTGAAAGCTTTTGATCAACCTTTCCTTCTGACACCATCCTTGCCCTCTGAGCACGAGCCCTGGCTTGTGCTATGACCAAAGCCTGCATGCATCTCAGTGTCTCCCTGGCCTGTTTTCTCACCAAGTGACCCCTCACCAGTGCCTGCAACTTAACTAGTCCTCTAAGAGCACAAAGTGCCTTTCTTGCCTATTACAGGAACATTGAAATATTAGTCTCACCCCCATACGTCTAAACACATACGCACACACACACACACAAAGTCCAATATTAGCCTCTGTGGTCTGAGAAAACGTTTTCTGTTTTCATTTCTTGTTTTCTGGAATCTACGCAGAATGGAGTGAACAAAATTTGAAGAGAAAACGAATTTTTCAAACCAAACAACTCCAAATGACATAACATACCAAGTAGGACCGAAACACTGACTGAATTGTAACGGCTGCAACCTCTTCAATACTTGTTGATGATATATTGGAATTTGGAGTGAAGCAGATGATAGCAGTATCAGGTGTAGCAGGAGCCATAGCGACCACCATGTCATGTTTCCTTTGATCATTCCCAGCATATGTGGTGGCAGTTTGCACTGTCACTGAAGCAGTGACACCAGATTCTGCAAGATTCAGTTCCCTGGAAGCCGATGATCTCCTGAAACTCCACCTTCTCTTCTCCTTGGGGGTTGTTGTTGTTGAAGCAGGAGTGGTTGGATTTTCTGTTGTGCCATTTAACAAACACAGGTTGGTACCACATTTTTCCTTCTCTTTTTCTCTGTCTCTCTTCCCTGTCAACAAGTTCCTAAGCCATTTGGCTGTCCTCCCCATCTCTTTCAAAGCATGGACAGTATCAAAAACTCTGAAGAAAGTAACAAAATGAAATGCAAGGTTTATTCACATCTGTTTTTGATATGTTGCTTTCAATACCATGGTCCCCATCTCATGCTAAATTTAGCTGACCATTTTCACTGCCCCCAACTTATCCCAACATACATTTTTCATCACTAGTATCACTTTCAGTGCATGTTTGGGTCACTGTGCCACGTAATTAGGTAACTCCTCTGCTTGCATAAGTAGAAGCATAGAAGCAGCTTTCAATGATAAGCCAGTGGCCACGTCCTTAACACTAGTCATACAGATCCATTGCCTCCAATCAAAAGTCTTGTAGACAGATAAATCAGGGATGTGTAATATTTTAGTCCTCTCAAAACCATTCAATCATTTTTTATTGAATAATCTAAACATCATAGTTACTAAGACTTCTAAAGTAGCTATTGTAAAAGTTAAAGTGCACATGCAAATGGTGGTTTGTGATTGAATAGTACTGTAAAAATGATTCATGTTGGTAGTGCATAGCCTATATCATATATATACACACACACACACAAATTCTTTAACTCTAATTACATTTTACATATAGATTTTGGGATTTGGTGTTTGAGGGTTGAGGTGAAAATCACACATCCATGGTTGCAAAGTGTGTGTTGGTGATGGCAGTTGTCGGCTAACGAGAAATGGGTTGGATCAGAAACCATGTGAAAAGTACGTCAACAACAACTGGCAGAATCCTTCTAAAATACTCATACTTGGGTCCATTTTTAAGGTCCATAATCAACCATGGAAAAATACAACTCCTGCTACCACCACCAACCATATATTTTCATGAGTTTAAGACCTCGTTCAATCATGTCTTTATTTATTTATCTATCTATTTATAGTTAAATATTAACGTTGTGATTTTTTTTTTAGTCTGCTTTTAGTTTTCAGATTATAAAGAAATTGTAATTTTGACCTAATCCTTAAATTTGCATATGCTCTTTCCTGGGACAGACATTGTTTGATAACCATGGAGAATTATGAGTTTCAATATGTTATTTCCTTTTTTTCTTCTTCTTTGCAAATTCTTGAATATTTTTTATAACGCAGTTATAGTTTGATATTTCATTCCCTACAATGTGCTTAATATTTCACATCAAGAAGACATGAAGAAAAAAGAAGTAAAATTTGAATTTTTATTCTCCAATGTATGTCCCCTTGAGAGGAAACTCTTGACTTCATCTTGTTGGCTTCCAAATACCCACAAGAAGAAGTAAAGTGCAAATGATTTTGTCAACACAGAGAGTTCAATTTCTTTATGCAACAATTTCAATTTATGTTAGTACCCACAAGTGAGGACCACCATAAGGACCAAACTTTTTCAATGGCTTGATTAATTAGCTTAGGTGATGACCAAAAGGCACACACTCATATTAATGCTGCATCATCCATGTACTTTTAACTCCTCGTGTATCAAACTACATTTAAGACAAAGAAAAAAAGAAGAAGAAGAAGACAACATTTCGGTTGTAATGAATGTATTTTTTTAGAGTATAAAAAAACAAATGATATAACTCGTAACATGATTCATAATGATAAAGAGTTTAGAGTATAGATATTCATTGAAAACCTTACATTGATGTAGTACAAAGATTACTCATTGCATCTTCATTGCTATATAACTAGGGTTTGTACGTGAGGTTACCTCAAGTGATGGTTATTGAAAGCATTTACTAAAAAACCAAGGTTTAGCTTGGGTCTATATTTTGTATTATGTTGCATGGAAAGAAAAGGACAAGTTTTGTTGAAGAAGCAATGGTTGTGTTACACATGAGTGTGAATTTAAATAGGAATAATAGGGTCCCATGATACCTATAATGGAGTTGTGATTTGTGTTGTTGCATGATTCATATTTGCTTAAACAAATGATTAGTTGGCAATCACATGGCATGTTTTAGGGTGATTATCACCAACCAAATTCCCTCTTCTGGGAACTCCTCAACACATGCCTTTCATACTTTTTAAGGTAAATGTGTAAATGGATAACAATCTATTCATTAAATTTAACAATTTTTTCAAATTTGTTGTTTTCAAAGACCTAAAGTAAAACCTATCAATCACATGTGAATCTTCTTTCCTACCTTCTCACAAATCTGAAACATGTGATTTGCATCAAGTGGTGTGAACATGGTGGAGGTGGCATTGGAGGATCTGATTCTGAGGGAAGAGATTTTGGGCCTTGTGTTGTGGCCCATCATCATTCTATTAAACCAATTGCTTCATACACTTAAATCATTTCTGTCTTCACCTTTTTACTATGTCCAAAGTAATTTTTTATATTTTCAAAAAATTTAGTCCAAAATATATTTTTAAAAAATAATATACAAAAATATTTAAAATTTCAACATACGTGATTTGAAAATAATTTGTATATCTATTACTACAGAATGAGTTTTACGGAATAATCCACCAACAAAACAAAAAGAAAATAGAAAACACGAATTTAGAAGAAAATAAAATAAATGAACATTCTTGTTTCCTACGAATCCTACTAATATTTTCTGCAAAAAACTATCCAAAAAGTTTTAATTTTTAAAGTTTTAGATTAATATTCTAGAATTATCAATTTGAAAAAAAAAATCAAATCTAAATCACATATTCAAAATTTCTCATTTCAATTTTTTTTTCAGAACAGCCTATCGAATTGCATTTACTAAAATATATAAATTCTAAAAAATTATTTGTATCATTATTTCGTTTCATTTTACTTTATATTCGCATTTATTTTATCACAATCTTAATTATTTTATACAAAAAGAAAATATTATTTTATTTGTAAATTGCATTGTATTACTTGCGTTGCATGAGTGATATTGGGCCCTTCATTTTCTCCATGGCTCAATAATCGGCCCAATAAGAAAGTTGAGATGTTTGAAGGAGACTGAGAAAATGGGAGTAATAAAGAGATGATTGTTGCTTCCTGCACTCGATAATTATCTTAAACCCCATTTTAATTTTACGCTTATCTTTATCATTATTTTTAAAATATTCTTTAGATTGACATTTTTGAAAACATTTCAGAATCTTTAATCCGAAATATATTTTAAAGAAGGCTAATTCAAAAATAAATTCCAGAATCTAGATTAGTTTTTCTAAAAATATATTTCAAAAAACCTTTTCAAAAAAACACATTTCAAAACATTCTGAACTATATTTTTTTTTAGATTGATTTTTCTAGAATTTAATTTATATTTTATAACATTATTTTAGATTAAATAATTTAGATACGTTTATATAATTTAAATGTAGAAACGTGTAATTTTTATATAATATTAACTATTATTTATTTTTAATTATTATTAGAAAAGACAATTAATGAATGTAATAATAAAAAAAATTCAAATAACTAAAAAATAGAAGTGCAAAATTGTAGCCAAACAAAACAAAACAAAAAATTAAGATAAAAAATAAAAATATATATTAAATATTTACTTGTGGTAGAGTTACTTAAAAGAAATTATGAATGTGCAAGCAAAAACGAGAAAATGATCCGGTTCATTCAAAAACGAGAAAATGAAATAAATGAGACATTGGTTTGGTGATATGATAATTTAAATTTCCAACACGTCTTCTTTTTTTCCACTCTTCATTAATAAGAGGGCGTCAAAATCAAAGAATGTACTTTTTTGTTTTTCAAACAGTGGGTTTCTATATTTGTTAGAATATAGAAAACATTTTTTATTATCTTAATAAAAATATTTGTTAGATTTCTATATTTTTTACATCACTATATATAAATTTTAATTAAATATTTTAGCGGAGAAATAATTTTGATAAACCAGCGTAATGATTAGACACTCATATCCACGTGATCTTTAACTTTGAAAATGATATATAAACAAAAAAAATGTAATTATAAAGCAATAAATAATAAAAAGAAAAAAAAATGAGCGACAAAAATTAATAAAAGAAAAGAAAAATGGAGTTTTGGAGAACTATTGCATGACCTAAAATCTTAATGACAGTTGCTACGTGGAGCATTGTAATTGGCCACACGAGTCAAATACTCATCTTCCAACGACTCACTGTGTTCACGCGTTGCGTTTTCTGCATGCCCACGTTCCACGTTTATCAATGCATAAACCCTTCAATTTATGTTTCACTAATTTCTTATAAATTTAATTTTTTATTACATGTCAAAATTAATTATTGATATTTAAAATTCAAATTAAGATATTTAAAGTGTCTAAGACACAAATGTAAAATAAAATTTAGTTAATTCAAATGAAAGTGAATTGTTATAACTCTTATGAATATATAAGAATATGAAATATAAATAGAGGGTAAAGATATAAACATTAAAAAATCATAATATTTTATAAGTTTCATAATTCATTTAATAAAAAATTTCTTGTGAGTTCATAATTTTAATAAGTTTTAACTAAAAATACAAATGCATTAAAAAGAAATATTCAAATATTGATATTTGAACACCCCTTTTTTTCAAACACCTATTTAATATCCATCACTTCTCTTTATCGCTGGTCCAATATTTTTATTTTCTCTTTTATAGATATCAGATAAAAACTTGACCCTCCCAAACATATCTCTCCCTAGTCACTTTTCTGCAAAATTTTAGTCATTACTGTAATTGATTAGTGTAACAGTAACGAGTGAAGAGTGAAAATGTGGTGAAAGGTTTAAGATTTTGCTTTAAAACAGTATATTTATTGAACAGTACCATCCCCCATATAGTATATATATATATATTCAAGAATACGTTTCCTTTTCACACTTGTCACCGAGTCATTTATATATATACACACACGTATCCAAACTCCAAATATCTCACCTTTGTTCGTTCTCTCGTGTCAACTTATTGTGTTATGTAAAACCCTTCCCTCTCATTTCTCTTTGACTTTCACAAAATGGCCTTTGCAAGTGTCATAGTCCTCGTTGCATTTCTTCTTCTCCAACCTCCTTTTTCTACATCTGACTTCCTTTCTCCCCTCTTTGGTTTGTAACCATTTCTTTTATAATCTCTTTTGTTGGATTGGATTACTTATTATGCTGCTATGTTTATGCTTGTTGATTTTCATTTCCAGTCTTGAGATTTCTTGAGTGTTCATGTAAAAGTTTTGATGGATCTTTAAGGGACAAGATAGTGGATATGGTTCTTGCATGCAGAAAAGTTGTCTTTTTTTAAGACCGTATGTTGCTGATCCAAATATTTCATGAAAGGGTCTTTTCATAGTTTTCTTCTGTTTTTTATGACAGCTTGGGAGTAGTAGGTTGCTTTGACATGATGTTTTTTTTTTGTTTTTTATTATGTGAGATGGGTTCAGATGAGGTCTGCAAAGAAGTTGAATGTGGAAAAGGAACATGCAAACGTTCTGAGAACAGCACTTTCTCTTTTGAATGTGAGTGTCAACCTGGTTGGAAGCAGACTCTTTCCAGTGATGATGACTCAGGCTTGAAGTTTCTTCCTTGCATAGTTCCCAATTGTAAGAAAATTAAGAACTTTCTCGTATGAGCTCCCACTATCATTGTGTTGTTCTCTGTTGATTTAATCTTGTTACACTTCCCCCTCTATCAGGAAAAATAATTGTTGATGAAAAATTCTTACACTATAAGATAGCACATGGTAATTTTGCAAAGCACAACTTGCTATGTAGTTCCTTTTCTTTTTGGTGTCTAGTTTGTCTGCATGTGGTTGAAATGGTCACTGCTATTTGACTGTTTGGAGAAATTGTGTACCATGTAGAAGTAAAGGAATTAACGTAGAGAGGTAACATGGTGGAAATTTTATGTAGATTTTATTTATTGCTTAAAAGGGTAGAAATTTTTTTCATACACTTAGCTTCTGTCAAAATTTTAGTTATTTTTACAAGTAAATACATTTAATGTTTTCAGAGGGGAAAAAACATTCCAAACTTAATGAAGACGTTGAGGATTTAGAATCATTCTATTTACAATTTATAATAGTCAACATACTTTTCAGGATATTTAATGCCACATTTGTAACACAGTTTCCATTATAAAACTATGCAGTTGAAGATTCCTACAGTTATATTAAAATCTGTTGAAAATTTAAAATACAAAATTGCAGTACACTTTATCCAATTACTTATTAATTCAGGAATGGAATCCACTAAATAAGAAAGTGTCTAAAAAGTGTATTAAAAGGTATACTATTAACAGTATAATAGAGTTTGTTATTAACATTTCTCTTGAAGTATGCTACTGTCTCATATGGTGAAAGATTTGAATGATATTCTCTGTAGGTACATTGGACTACTCTTGCTCCAAAGCCCCTGCCCCTGTTCAAGAAAAGGCAACAAAATCCAATGAGTCAATTTTTGATGGTAATTGAAAGATATAATGAGTACAGTTTGGTAAAATTTATGAAATATCAGTAACATTTTGTTAGTGTGCAGCTTGCCATTGGGTTGATTGTGGAGGTGGCTCATGCAACAAGACATCCATGTTCTCCTACAATTGTGAATGTGATTCTGGGTATTACAATCTCCTAAATGTCACTGCCTTCCCTTGCTTTAAAGAATGTAAGATTACAAAACCTCACTCATAGTCAATGATGGCATTTGTTTTTGAGGGAAATCATATGTTCTATGAAATTTGTGTGTTTCAGGTGCTCTTGAGATGGGATGTTCTGAACTTGGAATATCAGTGACAAATTCTTCTACCTCTGCACCACCGGCTTTGAATGACAACACTAAGAATGAAGGTAAAGATTTGGTTTTTCCTTATCTTTGCTCATCAAACAAAAGTTCAAAGCATATATATTATTACAACATTGAACAGATAATTCCTTTCTCATGATTTGTTATTTAATATTTTAGGTTTATCAGGTAGCTCAGTTACACAAGGAAGCTCCTTCTGGGTGGTCATGCTAGTTTTGTTCATGGCCAAGTTCCAATTGCAATAGGATGATTACAGGATTATTTTAGCAGTATTTCATCTCACAGACATGGCATACACGACAGTTTTAGTTATTATATTTCTCTAGTACACGATTTGTCTTTATTATCATTATTATTCTGGTTATAATACAATTATTCCACAGCAGATTAATGTAATGATTTTATGCTTCCGAGTGTCATAAAGTTGGGTGTAGCTGATATAATTAGTTATATATATTATTTTGCCTTTTAAAAAATGTTTGAACTAAATAAACAAAATGTCTCATCAATGTATATGAAAAAATGGAATAATCGGCACCCACCAAGTGACTTGAATGGTGTTTGATGGAACGTATGAGGAATCAGTTACCTTGTTTGTCCAACAACACATTAATTGCTCAAGTGATAAGAACGAGTTTGGTATGTAAAATTAGATCATATATCATGAATAGTGATATTGGATTTCACTGAACTTAATGATAAAAAATTACAACTCTCTGTCATGATTGGATCATATGTTAGGATCAGAGTACCAGCATAAATACACACAACTAAAATAGAGACGAGAAAAATAACCCTGACAATAGGCAAAAATGAAAATTTTATAATGACCACTCTTTCCTTTTACAATTGGAAATTACCAATACTAGGAAAGTAAAAGAGAAAGAAGGAGAAATATTTGGGATGTATGAAATAAGGGGGGAGGGGCTCCTTTTATAGGAAGGAGGAGAGCCCCCAATTGAAGTTCCCACGGATGTGGGACTTCTTTCTTCACAATCTCCCACTTGAAGATTTTGATGAAATTAATCAAATCTTCACACTATGTCTTCTTCTCTCACATCCATGTTGCTTATGCTTCCGATAGGCCATAGAGGGATCGACTCCATATAAACTTGTCAGCATTAACCGGCTTTGTCATTACATCTGCTAGGTTCTTCTCAGTGTGGATCTTTTGTAAATCTACACTTTCTTCTTCTACTACTTCTCGAACAAAATGATATCTTATTCCTATGTGTTTTGTCCTCGAATGAAAGGCTGAATTCCTTGCAATGTGTAAGGCACTTTGACTATCACAGTACACAACAATTTGTTGTTGCTTGTGACCAAGTTCCCCCATTATTCTTTTAATCCAAATAGCTTCTTTACATGCTTGGGTGACAGACCATGTATTCAGCTTCCGTAGTAGACAGAGCTACCACATCTTGTAACTTGGATAACCAACTTACTCGCCCCTCCATTGATGGTAAACACATAACCGAGTAGTAGACTTCCTTTTATCCAGATCACCTGCAAAATCCGAATCTACATAGCCTCCGACAACCGCTTCGATCCTCCATAACATAATGCAACATTTGAGGTTCCTTTTATATACCTAAGGACCCTCTTCACATTTTGCCAATGTTCTCCACCGGGATTCCCCATGAATCTACTAACCACTCCCACTCGCTTGTGCAATGTCCGGTCTTGTACAAATCATGGCATACATAAGACTTCCCACTCGCTGATGCATACGGTACTCGAGACATTTCGATCCTCTCCGCTTCATCGCTAGGACTCATACTTGAGGATAACTTACAGTTGACAGGAAGTGGGGTAGAAATTGGCTTGCAATCTTGCATGTTGAAGTGCCGCAAGATCTTAAGTAAATAATTCTTTTGAGAAAGCCAAATCTTCCTATCTTTTCTGTCTCGGTGAATTTGCATCCCTAAAATCTTGTTTGCTGGTCCCAAGTCCTTCATATCAAACTCCCTAGCCAATTGTGCCTTCAATTCTTGGATTCGAGCTTTGTTAGGGCCTACCACCAACATGTCATCCACATACAACAAGCAATATGATGAAATCATTTTCTTCAAACCTATTGTGGTAAGTACAATGGTCCGAACTTAGTCCGTAGTATCCGAGGCTAATAATGAAGGAATCAAATCTCTTATACCAACACCTTGGCGCCTGCTTTAGACCGTATAGAGATTTGTTCAACCCGCAAACCAAGTTTTCTTGCTCTTTGAAGCCTTCTGGTTGGAGCATATATATTTCCTCTTCAAGTTCTCCATGAAGAAAAGCAGCTTTTACATCCAATTGCTCAAGATGTAAATCAAATGCAAGACACATCGCCAGGACAATTCCGATTGTTGTCAATCTAACAACCGGTGAGAATATCTCGTTGAAATCAATGCCTTCTTTCCGAGCATATCCTTTTACCACCAGCCTAGCACGATATCTTTCTACTTGATCATTGACATCTCTCTTGATCTTATAGACCCATTTGCAACCAATGGCTCTGCGACCTTTTTGAAGTTCCACAAGATGCCATGTCTTGTTTTTATGAAGAGCTTCAATTTCTTCTTCCATAGCAGCCATCCATAGAGGAGCTTCGAACCACTCACGGCCTCTTGAAAAGTTGAAGGTTCTCCTTCTTCACTTAGGAGACAATACGCATCATGACTTGCCATCACATATTGTGAATGCCAAGATGGTCTCGACTCTTTCTCTTGTTGATCGTCGGAGTTCTCCTTCTTCCACCTCATTTGGCTCATGTTCTTCATGCTCCTCCTCTAACTCGGAGGAATGTTCGAAGTCTTCTTCTCTATCTCGTACTATAGTCTTGTCCTTTTCCGAGCTGTCATTTATCCGCTTGCTTTGCAGCTTCATTTTCTCGCAAAGACGACATCTCTGCTAACAATAACTTTGTGGGCAGTGGGATCCCACAAGCGATACCCCTTCACATTGTCAGCATATCCCAAGAAGATGCATTTCCTGGATTTTGGATCCAACTTCGTCCTTTCTTGGGTGTTGTACATCACGTACGCGGGACAACCAAACACATGTAAGGAAGAATAATCGGTTGATTTTTCACTCCACATTTCCATAGGAGTTTTCAACCCAATTGTCGTTGATGGAGACCGATTTATCAAGTAACGAGCAGTATTCACGGCTTCGCCCGTAAAGACTTTGTTATGCATGCAGCTTGCGAGCATAGCTCGGTTCTCTCTAGAAGAGTTCTATTCATCCGCTCTGCTACACCATTCTCGCTGAGGCGTGTGTGGAACAGCAAATTGTCTCACAATTCCTTCTTGCTTGCGTAATGCTAGAAAATCTCCATCTACATATTCTCCTCCATTGTCTCGTCCTCAAACACTTGATTTTCCTTCCGGTCTCAAGTTCTACTTGTGCTTTGAAGTCTTTGAACCGCGCAAATACTTCGGACTTCTTCTTGATAGGGTATACCCATAATCTCCTCGAGTAGTCATCGATGAACGACACAAAATATTTTGCTCCTCCGAGAGATAATTCCGGTGATTCCCGGACATCGAATGGATCAAGTCCAAAGTTTGCTTACTCCTTGTGGTGGTTCTTGCAAACTTCAACCTGTGTTGTTTGCTTGTCACACAATGCTCACGAAGGGTAAATCGACCTTCTTGAGCCTAGGTATGAGATCACGTTCCGCAAGAATCTGCAGACCTCGCTCCGACATATGTCCAAGTCTACGGTGCCACGTTATCGCCGCTTCTTCTTGGCTTGTCGACGCAGCTTGTTGCATGATTTTCTTGCAAGGTGTCTCCCATAAGCACATACAAGTTTGCCATGATTTTCTCTCGCTTTCATGACAACTATGTTTCCCCTCACTACCTTTAAGATTCCTCCTTCAACATGGATCTTGCAGTCGAGGTCATCCAATTGCCCTATAGACAATATATTTTTCTTCAAGTCCTTCACATGTCGTACTTCTTGGATTGTGCGAATAGTACCGTCATACATTTTTAATTTGACGAGTACCAACTCCGAGCAATCTCCAATGCATGGTCATTTCCCATGAACACGGATCCACCCGAGATAGGCTTGTAGGTTTGAAACCAATCTCGGTGTGGGGTCATATGCCAAGTTGCACCTGAATCCATTATCCACTTGTCATGAAATTCGTTTCCGCCATTAGAGCTGATTGTTGCTTCGCTTACCGTAATTACTCCTTCCTCTCGAAGTACTCGCAATGCAACCTTGTGAGGTTGATTCTTCATTCTTCCTCTTCCAACACTCTTTCTTCGTGTGCCCTTTCTTGCCACGGTAGTAGCATTTAAATTTGAAAGTCTTCTTGTTTCGAGAGCTAGATCTGCCATGATCTTGACTCCCACTTGAGCCACGTTCCGCCGATCTTCCTCTCATCATCGTAAAAACTTCGCTTGTTTAGAACTTTCTACCTTATTCATTCGCCTGGATTCTTCTTCTAGAATAGCTCCGCAACATCGTCAAAGTGTAGTTGTCCTTCAATATTATTATTTGTAATGTTGATGATGAGTTGATCATACGAGTCCGGCAAGCTCGAAGTAAGAGCTCCGCACGCTCATTCTCAACTATGTTGAAATTTGCTGCCGCTAATTGGGCAAACAAGGTGTTCAGCTTGGTTGATGTGGTCCGTCACCGATGTGGACTCACTCATCCGAAGAGTATAGAGTTTCCTCTTCAGGAATATCCTTGTGTGAAGTGACTTCACCTCATATAATTTAATGAGGGCATCCCAAATCTCCTTTGCAGAATCTTTCTCCGCAACACTCGGATAGAACCGAGTCTCGCCATTGCCAAGTGTAAATTTGCAATAGCGTTGCCGTCAATTTTCTTCCAATCTTTATCCGTCATTTCTGCAGGTTTTCCCTCAATTGCTTCTGCGCAATTGTCCTTTCTCAAGATTGCCTTCATCTTCAATTTCCACAACGAGAAATTGTTCCCGTTGAACTTCTCTATCTCGTACTTTGCTGCCATGGTTGTATACAGACTTATGCAACTATCACTTATAAATAGTATTGTCTACCGGAACAATAGTAGTAAACCGTGAACCAAGTACACCAAGTAGGTTCCCGGGAAAGAGAGGTGGGTCACTAATGGACACGCTTAAGTACCAAGTCTTTCCTAGCCGAACTTTCCTCAATAGTACTTTCACACTACCACACCTTTTCCAAGAATAACTCCTTTCTCGATGTGGAAGATCGATTAAACCGCAACCACAGAGCATACTCGGAATTTTACCAACACTATTCTAGTGACGCGCAACTGAACTCGAACGCGAGCTCCGATACCACTCGTTAGGATCGTAGTACCAAGCATAAATACACACAACTAAAATAGAGACGAGAAAAATAACCCCGACAATAGGCAAAAATGAAAATTTTATAATGACCACTCTTTCCTTTTACAATTGGAAATTACCAATACTAGGAAAGTAAAAGAGAAAGAAGGAGAAATATTTGGGATGTATGAAATAAGGGGGGAGGGGCTCCTTTTATAGGAAGGAGGAGAGCCCCCAATTGAAGTTCCCACGGATGTGGGACTTCTTTCTTCACATCATAGAGGTAATGGGGTTTCAACCTTCAAATACTCAGTTACTTTTACTTGAGTAGACAAGATGTATGTTCCGAATAACAAGAACTGAAAACTGATTGATGAAAAAAAACAAATAGCCCGAACTATTTGGTAAAAAAGAAAATAATAAAGAAAAATATGATTTTTTATTCTAATCTACACATTTTACTTTTTATTCATTTATAAAAAAAAATATTATTTTACAAAAATAATCTTTATTTAATAAAGAACTATTATTTTTACTATATCTATAAAAATGATTAACAAAAATATAATAAAAATTAATATAAAAAACATTTTAATTTGATATTATTTAATTAATTTAAACTCGAATATTTAAAAAAATACATAATTTTATGATGAAAAATATTTTATAACTACAAATTAAAATATTATTATTAAAAAATAAATCTTTGTTTAAGAGTTATTTCGTTCATAAAAAAATAATTATATAAAAAACTATGCAATTATATAAACATTTAATTATAAGTTATTTATTTATTATTATTCTACATAAAAACTTTATTTCTTTTTATATCAATTTATTCTCAAATAAACAAGTATATTCTCAGTTTTTTTTATTGAAACATTTATTTATATTTAATGGTTATTATTAAATTCTCGTGTCTCGCTGATTAAACATTTTTCTCATATAATATGTCCTAATATATATATATATATATATATGAAAATAGTTTTTATAAACACATTGGCTTACAGATTTTAAAGTTAAAAACACACAAATTGTTTAGTATCTGAACAAAAAGAAATTGAGTTTGATTGAAACACTAAAAATATCGAAACAGATTTGATTATTTTGGTCAACACCCCTAATAAATTCTTGTGGCACTAGTTGCTTCGTTTAAATCATTATTACAGTGAACGGGAAACCTAACCAAGGTCAACTGCAGCTTCTTAGCCTCTCCATTAAGAATACAGAAGTAGAAAATAGTATTTACAGATTTGTAAATTTACTGGACTAGCATAATACACAAGGACAACCACAGGAGGGTGAGAGGAGTATACTTATACTCATAAAATTCGATTACACTCAAAATTCTCTATTCTAACTTGTTTGAGTTCACAATATAACCCGTTACAAATAAATGCGAATGACATTAAAGCTATAATCTTGATTTATTGTCCACAGTTTGAAATGAGTACATAATGCTACCTAGCTCTAGGTAGATACATATCTACAGAAAGTCTTGAAATAGGACCAGAAAGTGAGGGAAATTGACCATCTGAAACAACAATCATTCCAACGACTTGAGAAGTCTAAATAACGCAGCTGCCTCTCTAATCCGTGAAAACTCGATGCAAAACGCTTGAACTTCAATGAAGAGATCTTTAACTGCAAGTTGGGATCATTTACTAAAATCAGTGACATGCTGCAATTTTCAATTTCTTTTTGTGTTCCACTAAATATACAAAATGACAATTCATTTCCAGGAAAATACACAACAAATTGATCCGTAATGTAAATTAATAGCAAACAACGTATAAGAAACCAGGCAAAATCAACTGTCAATACTCTTCTTTTTTTCAATAAAGGATATGATATCCTCAAAAAGGTAATCCAAGGAAAAAGACAAACTAAGAACATGAAACATGTAAACTGCATGCCAATCTCTCGGAATAAATTCCAAGACAGAGCCTCCAAAAAAGTCCTCTAGCCACAGAATCCCAAATGAACTCCAATGGTAAGAGTCGAGCACAGAAAGGAACAAAGGAACTTTTGGAGATCCATAGTCTTTTTGAACCTCTATGTTAACCACAAAGGAACTATAGGAGATACATAGAGGGGAACCCAATGGTTTTTCTCATTCATATATTGGTACAGGCCCAAAAGCATAGTTAAATCAAATTGAAGGGTGGCAGGAACAAAAGTGGTTAAAACTGATGATCCAACAAAATATTATTATATGTAACTGAAAATTTGAGTTAAAAAAAAAAATAGCCCCAAAAATATCCTATTGGAGATTTATTTCCCAATTAATTTTATACTAGCTTTCAAAACTTATTTAAGGTATTCAAGTAACAACATTTCTAGACTCGTTCATGAAAGAAAAAATGTTGGTTAATAAGTGCTCCTTTCAACAAAGTATTTCTCATTCACTTGAAATATTATTATCTAACAACAGTTTAAACGAATTCCAAAAATGTTCCAAGTATGTTATTTCCACACCTTCCACTTACCACCAATCATAATTTATCCACAAAATTAACGAACAAATCATCTTCCTCCCTTTACACACATTTTAAGACAATAATGTTAAAAGAAACAAAATCATTCAACAATGTACCAACAGGGTAAACTCACCATTAATAATGTCGTTCCGAATGAGGCTTTGCAGAAACACACAGACAAGTCTCACAAGCCTGTTTTGCATGTATTTATCCTGAGAAAAATGTAGAATGCATAGGTGTTAATTATGTAATAAAAGAAAATAGCATAGTCATCTTGTGAAGTGCAAAGAGATAAATGGTTATTAGAACAATGTCAATTTTCTATGGCAATATTTTTTGTATGAATACTGCATATCTTTCTGTATTTCTCATTGTCTATCTTTCTACATATTGTGTGTATGGAGCGTATCTGGAGAAAGCCCATAGACCATTAGATCTTATCATGAATGGTCAGGATTAAAACAAACAAGTTACTTGTGTTCTTAAGAAGTTAGACGACATTAGTGATCATTTGCCTTTAGAAAACTTTTAATCTTGATAATCCATTTGAAGTGTATAGTTAAGATTTACTCTTCATACTCGCCTGATACTCTCTCTAACTCTCTCTCTCTCTCTCTCTCACACACACACACACACACACATATATATATATATATATATATATATATATATATATATATATATATGGAGATCAAACTCTTTGTATGTACGAAATTTCAATGATATAACTCTTAGAAAGTGGTTTAGGTCTAAATCATACCTATTCAATAACTCACCTAAATAATATAATTTGATCATATTTCTATTCATCGTAGGATTTCCAAAACACTTTCTTGCGACAAGAATTGGACATCTCAAACGTGAGTTGCATATTGCGGATGGCATGATAGGCCTAACTAATTTCACTAAGATATACTCTACTATCATCTTAGAAACTTATTTTAGACCTAATTCAATCCTACAAATCTTTCTTATGAAATGAGGTTTGTATTCACTTATATACTATAATTTCCTATAGTCAATATCAGATCTACAACACTAACCGTTAAATTAAAAGTTCTTGTTTAATATATCAAGTCTACAAAATTTTATAAAATTAGAAACTATTTAAAGCTTCAATAAATAAATCTGAGATATAATTCACTTTTATTAAAATATAAAAAATTAATTCCAGCTATGAGGTTATCTAGTTACAACCGTCCAATTTATCTAAAATTGCATGATCATTGAAATAATATCAAAACATTCAATCATTCAAATATAATATAAACAGTTATAAAATAGAATAACTCTACCAAGAGTTACTCTTCAAGTAACTTGCTCCCCATCCTATGTGTGTATACAGGCTATCATACAACTTTGCAGTAGGAAAACATCAACAACGAGCAAATCATTGATAGGAATAAAAAGAGACCACATAGAGGTCAGACAATCAGAAGATCGTGTAACACTTGGAATGATATTTGGATAACTGGGAAAGTAAGATAGATATGCAGATAAGGGCACAATTACCCCTGTAAGAACAAATGTATGTGCAGGCATGAATCTTGCATTCATGTGAACTCATTTCTGCCCAGTTCAAACAATTGTAGTGAAATCAAGTGGTTGTCAAACTCTTGCGTTAACACTTGAATTCTTACAATATTATTATTATGGGTAGACAAAACAAGGTGCTGTCAAACTCTTTTTTCCACATAATGTTTGAAATTAAATATAATCCCCCGCATGGACCCCATAATGATCTTGTTTCACCGGGACTAACATGATTTGAGAAAATCCTTTTTAAAATGTTTTCACTTTAGTAACTTCTGCTTTTATTAACTGATAACTGGTTGGTCATTTCCGTACTTTGGTCTTATATTGTACTAATGTGGTCTGCTAGTGCTTTATTATGCTGATAAAATATTGAATTAAAATCAAGAGTATTATAAATGCATATGTATTCATCAATAGGTTTTTTAATAGTATTTTATTTTATATATTAGATAAACTCTTATGAATTTATGAATCAAGTTTACAAAAAAAACACAAGTCCACAGAGACTCTACAATTTGACAACCTTTGCCATCTCGAAAGCACTTTTATCATACCACAAGACAACAGATGAATTGGTGATTTCTGACAAATTTTAGATCTAACATCATAATAAAGTTTACCAATGCCAGTTCCACATGTGAATAAAATTTCATATAGAAACGCAATCCAATATCCCTACGTAATCTACAAATCTAGGAACTGAATACCAGAAACTATTACAAAAAAGCATAAGCTTTGTGAAGAACAAGTTTGTTTGGTGGAAAGTAAAGCTTATGGCAATAAGGCAAAGTGATACCTTGATGCTCACACAGGATGCTATACAATTAGTTATGTACATGTGAATGAATTGTGATGGTAGTTCAACTGCTGTTGTAAGCCTGTTCACAACTTCCATTGAATGTAGACTCATATCCATATTGACAAGTACTGTAAAGTATCTGCATCCATAAATAAGCAAATACAAATAAAGAAAATAATAGCACCCGGGCAATCTATATATTAGAGGACAGAAAATATAATAGAGAAAAAATGCATACTCTGAAATTTCTGGAGACTTTATCAACTTAGTGAGAACATCAACTGCTATAAGGGGGTTGTTTTCCACCAGTTCCTGATTTAAAAAAAAAAATGAGAAAAAACATCAAGACCTGACTCGGTAATTGATACATCAAAAAGACTACAAAAACACATACTGGCAATTTTCTTGGTGTCAGTCCACAGTGATATACAAGCTTTGGATCATTTGCTAGCTCCACCAGAACTTGCTGGATTAAAAAAAAATTGTAAGTTGAATTCATTAAACATTTGGCAAGAAAAACTAAGGCACAGATATCACTTTCCAATTGCAATGTGATGCAATCTGTAGCAACTAGCAAGGAATATATACAGCAGACCATTGTTGGAGTATAGTTTTACCCCCGTGTATTTTTTCTTTTCTGCACAGCAGTAGTTCTGTTAAGTTGTTATATTTTGACAAACTGTCACCCCTAAATAACTGATAGTTAGTTAGAGCTTGTTACAGTCAGTTACAGCTATATAAACCTGTTGTAATCTCTTATACATGAGGGTTGAATTCATTTCAATAAGAGTTCCAGAAATTCTCTGCATTCTCTCACCTAAACTCAATAACAATCAATGCTATAGTATAAAAAATTTTTTCCAGTGGTTTACTTAGTTTTCCTAAAAGTCCCAACCTAAAAGAAGGAAAAAACAATTCCTTTAAAAATCAATCAGGAGACCCATCACACAGTCTTATTCTACTTTACAAGTTTCAGCTTTGAATGTCATAAAACACAAAAGGTGTTTTCCCATTATATAATAGTGTAGTGTTTGTTCAGAATTAGTTCATCTGTCCCTACAACGTTCTGCTGTCTCTTAATGATGTCCAATATCAGTAGACCAAATTTTTACTAGCTTCAAGGATTTTGATCATATTAAATAAGCCCAATTTTTATTGCCCTGTGCAACCCACATGCTACTTAGTTATTCTGACACTCATATTTTAAGATGTTTCATGAGTTGAACAATTTTAGATAAGATCAAGAGTTTGGCTTTATTCAGTGTAAAGCACATGGTCCTTTCAAGTATATTATCCATTTTTCCTTAACAGAGATGCAACTGGGTATCTCTGCTCCTACAATGTTTTCCTCTTCTATCAAATAATGATAATAATAATAATAATAATAATAACCTCTTGCTGGGCAGGTGCAAGGGCGCCCTTTAGAGCTTTTGCAATTAAGTCCCTTACTGCAGCCCCTCTGCTCGTATCAACACACATACCATAGTCCCACATAAGTTCGTGATTGTCATCAGGGTTGAGCCAAACTAGCTGAAAGGTTCCAAGTATAACTAGCTTTAATCATTAAATTCAAGAATCAAATGTTGCAGATACAAATATGCAGTACCTCCCCATCAAGTATAGGCAGCCTTGGTGGAAGTGGTCTGACCCAATGAGGATTTAATCCTTCCAATGAAAGATTTGACAGCAACCCAACTACTGCCTCTTCTTTATCTCCAGCACCATGTTTAGGTTTTGTTCCGGGTCGCACATCAAACCTATAAATTGGTAATTATAATAATTTAGAGCATATGAACTGTGAATTGCCACTCTAAAATAGCTATGTAAAACCATTCAAGGGATTAAAAAACAAAGTGGAATTTAATGAAAAAAACTATATATATATATATATATATATAAATCAGTCAATCCACTGCATGGGCCATACTCTAATGAATCTGCATCACAACTTGGGGGAACATCTGGGTCTGGGACTACATTTTTTACAGTACCATCTTTTAATAAGCAATGATATGGTTCTAGATGAACTTTATCAGAGAACTGCTGCTTCAACTGATCTAGTGGAGGGAACTCCTGGAATCAGAGAGGATAAATAATTATAGAAATCCTAAACGAAGATAAGGACTATCCTGAGAAAAGCAGGGCTATATCTCAGAAAAGTAAGATATTCAGGCAGGAAAATATTGGATATGCTACAGGTAAGTATTTTGAATACCGTGACTTACATGTAATGACTGATCAAATCCTTTAACATAATCTGATGCAGACTGTTTAAGAAACTGCAATCCTCCAGGAAAATAAAAACAACTCAGAAATTACAAACCTCTAAAGATAAATATCTAATGAAAGATACACAGTATGGAACATCAACAGCAAACATTTAGATGCATGTTGAAGGTGAAACAAGTGACAGAATCTAACCAGAAATACGTTATCAACATGTTTAACCAACATTCCACTTTACAATTTTTCCAATCTAAAACAAATTTAATGGACCAAAAATAAGATATTTTTTCGAGGAAATGTTTAGGAGAGAAGAAAGTAAAGGCAACATAGAACTCCAATAGACAAATATAAGAGCCAAAAATTTCAAACAAAATTCACCTAAATTACAGAAAACAAAGAACAGCTTTAAAATATTACTCTGTTTATTCCACTGTTGACTAAGAGTTATTTTGCAGAGTATCAATAACAGTATAACATCAAAACTTGCACAAGGCTGACAACAATAGCAAATAGATACAAAAGTGATGTTGAACACAAAACAACATCATTATGGAGAATAAATGAAAGACTTAATATATGTGACAATTGTTAAGACAAAAAATAAAATAAAAATATAACCTCTTTTCCACTGTTGGAGCTATCAACACCTAGTAGCTGCAGAATAAATGCCCTCTCAACTTTTTCTGATCCTTCATGACAGGAAGCCTGTAACCAAGAAATTATCCTTAGCTCAACAGTTATATAACACAATAACATAAAATGTAGAGAGATAAACGGGCAATCAAATTTATTACTTATTAGTATATAGATGAAATATGACACTATTTTGATTGCTTATCATTAACTTTAACATAATTGTTCCAGCTAAGATTTTCATTAGAACTTAGAAGTTCAAAATGGAATTGTCTAAAGAGAAACCATAACACCACTGAACATATTTTAGCAGGCAAGCTTGGCTACATGAACCAAGTAACCATTTAATCTAACACTACTTAGCTCTGTTAATATCCAGATTTAAATAATACCGTTTGTGAAGGTTTTCTTTTAATGGTTTATCCTATTGCTCTCTTAGCTCTTCCTCTCCCCTCAAATTGGACATCTGGACTATCTTCCACTCATCCACTTTTCGTACTCACATGATTGTCCACTTGCTAGTATACTTTAAATAAAAAACTGTTGAAGTATAGCGTGTAGCATATTCTGTCAGTTAGAAAGGTACTTGTCAGACAGTGATTTTCTGTTATTCTTTTGTGTAAATAACTAACAGTTGGTTAGATCTAAGTAACTATAGTATCCTATATAAAGCATTCAGTTGTACCTCAACACATATCAATAATATTTTTTCTCAGATTTCTTTATTCTCTTAAAGCCATATCAGTTTACCATGAACTCAAAAAATTTTCTGCACAGTGACAAAATTGTTAATTCATAAAAAATCACCATCACTTGAAAAACTTGGTTCAGACTCAATTTGAACAAAATCAAATTTATGGATGAATTTGTCAGTCAACTCTTTTTCTCGATAGCATGTTCATTAATAACTATTTATATAATTCTAAATTGGAAGATATATAGTAAGTTCTATTTTGTCAGAATTTCAGATTTGAGAAACAGTGAACTGTGACTCCCCAATAAAAAATGTTAGCTTTCCATATTTGTATAAGATGTCAGTGACAAACATTCCATTCATTTACATCCAGAACATATACATGGGAAAGAATCAGCTGGCATAAATGCACTGCAGTACATATGCGGGTATAAGAGCAGTTTTTCCCAATCTGTTGAGCCATTTACCGCCTCATATTATTGACAATATTTCAACTAATTTCAATAATAAGACCTAATTAAGGTGCCTCCTCATCATTCCTATATTCACCATGTCATATTTTGTTGAATCATATCAACCTTCTCTTGCATTAAAAAACTGGCTCTAACTTCAAAGAATTAGGCAAACCATATAGCATCCATACTAAAAAAAGGTTGAAATGACAACTACAACAACAACAACAATATTAATCACAATAACTGCTTACGTTTACAACGAAACTTATGAAGGGATTTGAAGCAGGTTTCTGGGATGAATAAGCCTCAACAAGCAGAGCGAAAGCTATTAACCTCTCAGTGGTGCTGAGAACCTTATTGTCCTGCCCACAAAATATTCCAATTAGATAACATTCAACACCATTCCCAAAAATCTGTACCTAACAAGAATAAAAAACAAAAACCCCCCACAAAAAATGAAAATCCAACACATTATTTTAATTTAACACCATTTCCACCAAATTATCTTAACAATTTAAAAGAAGAAAAAATCCCCCTAAAACTTGACATGCCAGAAAGAGTATCTAATCAGTGTCAAATTATGTACATTACTTCTCATATAAAAACCCTAGAAGTTTGAATTGAGATTGAGGAGTTAAAAAAGGTGAAAAGGAACGGGATTGTTACCTGCAATAAGATGAGGAGATAGGTGGAGAGAGTGAAATGGCGAGAGGAAGGGATTGATGAGCTGAATTGGGAGAGGATCTCATGGAGTGGACGCTGCTCTGCTCTGAGCAGAGAGTAAAGCGCTTGCGATTCTTCGACACTCAACCTTCGAATGCTCATCTTCCAGATTGCGTTCGTATGTTAGGGTTTCACAAATTTGGACACGATCTTTAGTCAAAACGCGATTTCTAGGTTTTGTTCTTCTCTCTCTCCTATTCTGCTCTGCTGATAATACTCACCACCATGAACAAGAACGACGAAGGGAAATTAAATTAATTTTTTCAAACTTGAAATAAATAAATTATTTATTGTAAATAAATAATTTACTTCGTATATTTACTTGATATATGTAATTTTCCTCTTAGTTTCATGAGCTAACACGACAAAAATATGTAATTTCAGGAATTATATCTGCACATTAACATTATTTCATTTTTTTTATTTTGATATGTTATAAGCATCAAAAATTTATATTATCACTCAATAAAAAATTATACTTTATATATTTCTTATATATTTATTAACTATAAATATTCTTTTAACCTGGTTATCAATAAATCGTGTTACTTAAAAATTGAAAGAAAATGTAAAATTCAAAGCAGATGCTTTTTTTTACTATCTTTTTTATTACGTATTGTTTTTATTTTTTTAATGTATTCCAATGAGGAGCATTTTTTCCAAGAAAAGCGAAAGAAGGGGGTATACTTATCAAAACCAAGGGAGTGCGAATAACAAGGCCCAAAATCCGGCTAAATATTGAATGAATTAAAGCCCAAAAAAGCCTTTCTAACTTTCACGCGAAAATAAAATGATTGTCTGTGTTCAATTTTTAAAGTTTTTTTTTTATCTTTTAAAATAATAAAACCTAAATATAATATGTAGTATTACACATGTTTCTCATAAAAACTACAAACAAATATTTAAATTAAAATTACATATACAAAAAAAAACTAATTTTAAAAATTTATATTTTATTTGATTTTTGTAATTGTGTTTCTACTCATGAATAATTATAAGGAAAAATGTTAAAAACATGGTTACTGAGAAAGAAAAGACAATGATATAAAAACCTTTATTTGCTGAATTGGTTTCATAAGTATGTATATGTTGAACAATGAACACAAAAATGAATCCCATGGCAAATTCAACTTGAATACCCTATTTTTGAATTATTAAACCTATCATTATGTTATGTGGCCTTAACATTGCATCAATATTATGATTGGGTCCTCAAATTTGTAACATAAATTTATCATGTCCCATTCTCAATCCTGGGAAGTCATCTCTTTCACTCGTTTTTCTTTTCTTAAAATTTCGGATTAATGTCTATGTTAATATGATTTGCTTAAAGACCATGAATTTATCTCATAACAAACATTTTATGACCTATATTACTAATGCCTATATACAATAATAACTTGAGTACACAATGAAAATACTTCTTTTTTTAATAATTTATAGTAAAAAGAACTATTATAAAAATATAAAAGAGTAATAAATTTAAATTAAATATAAAGATATAAGGATAATTGAACAATAGTATTTTAAAAAGAATTCAAATTTGTTAGCACTAGAAATAAAAATAAGATTTGAAGATCATAGTCTACTCACGATGATTCATACAATTAAACCTATTGTCAATTCAAAATAAAGCATTAATTAATTTAAATATGAGTATATTTACTTGCACAAAGAGAATATATATATATATATATATATATATATATAAAAGGAAATTTTGACAAATTTATCTGTCATTATTGGATCTGTACTGTGTCTAATAAATCGATGGATGATAAACACTTGCATTGATAATTGTTCGTTGCATGAATTCTTATTATTTAATATTTTTTACTTTTTTTAATTATATTATTGTTATGAAATTGAAAATTAATATTTTAAAATTTGGATATGATTTTCTTCTTGAATTGTCTCGTGAGAATATGAGATTTGACGTTGATTATGATAATATTTTTAGATCTATTATTATAACATTATTTGCTTTAAAGCTTTAGTTCCTTATGATTTTATTTAAAAAAAAATATTTCCAAAAATAATATTTTTTCTGTTACTATTTTGTTGTTAGTTTTTTTAAAAATAATTTTTCTAACTCATTCAATTCATAATTAAAAAAGAGAACGTAATCAGAAAATAGCGAAGGTTGTGAATGTTAATCATAAAATACTACCCTCAATAGGGTTAGGTGGCAGCATAGATCAAATTAATATGGTTATACTTAAAAGTGGTTAAACCTTAATTTTTAATTCTATAGATTTGAACTTTGATATTATAAATTTGATATATTTTAGTCACAAATATAACTAAAGAATAACTAAAAAAATTGTCTTCGATAAAAAATTATTTTTAAAATGTGTATATTATACAGTGTTGTTCTTTTAGTATTAGAATAAATAGAAAAATTACCCTTAGAAAATAGTGTGTATTTTGACTTTCACATCCCTTTATCCCCTTTATGAAATAATTAGTATGAATTTTAAACAAAGAGAATTCTCTATTTGGATAATCTTGTGATTAAGAGTCATAATCTGTCATCATTTAAGTCCTAATTATAATGAAGTACCTCTATGTTCAATCTGAGTTATCAAATCATTCCTAACTCACACGTATAAAAACAACCTTCATGAACACTTGCACACAAATCTATCATGGTTTTAGAGCAAAAATCAAATAATGTCATTAGCCCAACAATTAAAACATAAAAATCATAATTAACAACAAATAAATTCCATTAATCACTTTAACAAATCCAGCAATCCAAAACCCAGCCAGCCACAGAAATGTAAACCCTAGAATATATAATAATCTAAATCTCAAATCACGACAATTAATCCCCTAATAAACAACACGACCAAAAGTCTCAAAACCGACGAGAAGGCAGCGGCGGTTAATACCTCCTTCCGGCGGCGGGACGGCCGAAGGCAAGCGGCGCTTGGGCAGGAACAGGATCGACCTGAACGACGCCGGGGATTTCGGACATTCCAAGGGCGGCGAGCATGTCGAGGGTCTCCTTGTCCACCTCGATCTGGTCAGTCCGGATAGCAGAGACGTCGGGGACGAAGTCCATGCGTCGCTCGCGCTCCTCCTCCTGCAGCTTGAGCGAGATGCCGCGCACAGGACCCTTCTGGATGCGCTTCATGAGGTGGGTGGAGAAGCCGGCGATTTTGTTGCGGAGCCTCTTGGAGGGGATGATTGCCACCTCTTCCAGAACCTTCTTGTTGGTGTGGAAGTCCAGCGTCATGCGAGAGTAGTACCTCTCAATCACTTGCCTCGACGATTTCTTCACTGTCTTCGTGCGAACACGCCCCATTTTCCAACTTCAACTGTGTGTCTGTGAATGGCAAGGATTCAGGGATGGAGAGAGACAGTGTCAGACAGAGGTAGTGCAATGTGGGGGAAATTAGGGTTTTGTAAAAATGTTATGCCAGTGATTGGGCCTGTTTTGTACCCAGCCTAAGCCCATATTTGACCAACACACGTAATTTTTTGTTTGTCAAAATTTTCAAGAGATAATTTTATTTAATAACTGTAATACAATAAATTAATTTAGAAGTCTAAATTATCTAGATCCGGCCTATTTTGAAATGGGCTCCCGAGCCCATATTGAAATTATTCTCTTTTTATAGTTTTAGGCGATTAATACAGAAGAAATAATTTCCTTTAACTACCAAAAAAAAAAATCAAGTGAATTGAATGGCGATATGGTCGTATCCGCCGACGGCGAGGCAAATGGCGGTGACCGGCGGTATATTTGTCATCGGCGGTTTGTGCTTCGGCATCGGAGCTTATTTCTCATTTGCTAACGCAGGTCCTCAACAGGAGCGGTTGGAGGCTCGCAGGGAAGCCATGAGGAATTATCTGAAGAAGCGATTCGGAGATTGACGCAGATGAACGGTTTCGGAATCAAAGTTGCTACACTTTACTGCCGTTAGGGTTAAGGTTAGAGTTGTTTCTTTGGTGCGCGTTGCTTGTGGAAGATTGTTCAATAACGCTGTTTTGTATTGTGTGAGATTGTTTTATTGTAATTGATTTTAGTATTTCTATTTAATTGTGTAATTGCATGTAACGAAAGATTAGCCTTAAAAGCCATTTGCAGAATCGAAGTAAATGAATTGTAATTTTGAGGTATTAGTACATTTGGAATTTGAGAAATCAAATCTTATAAAAATTGTTATGCAATTTATAATCATTAAGGAACTATGATGTTTCTTATAACCTCTACTTTGTCCGTGAAACAATTTGGGAGAAAGAAATTAAGGAAATAGTTTAATTCTCAGTGTAAGATTTTTGTTTTCCAGATTGGACTATCTTTAGTCTAATTTTTCAATTTAGTTAAACTTCATTAGGTTGAGCTTTTTTAGTACATCTTAAATATAAAAAAAATATTTCTTAAAATAGTTAAATATCAAATTAATAATAGTAGATCTATTTTACAACTCATGAATGCAATTCTAAGATATGACGATGAAAGAAATGAAATAAAAAAATATGTAATATGAAATATTTACTTATAATAATTATAAAATAATATTCTTATTATCAACTATTAAATTATCTTTTATATATTAAAATTATTAAAGAAATAAATTTTTATTGTAATTTTGTTTATATAAATTGGCTGGATTGAATTACTCAACCAAATTCTAACTGAGTGCACTAAATTAAACACAATCAAATTTAAATGATCGAATCCCTAAAATGTAGTTAGTTTGGTGGATTCAACTTTACAACATCTTACAACTAATAGTTTAAAAATGTAATAAAAAAATATCTAAAAATTTAATTAATGTGAATTAAATGATCATATAAACTCTTTAAGTTAACAAACCATTTTATAAATCTAATTTTTATATCAAAATAATGGTTAAACACCAAGATCTTGTTAGTCTCCAATTTACATTATTGGACCCAAAAGTTCAGGCAACAAGTCATCAAGCCCAATAGGTTTTAATAGAACAGGCCATTCTCCAAAAAACACAACAGAATATACCACCATAGACCAAGTGTAATGAAAAATAAACTTAAATAAAATCAAGAAATATTAGTTTGAACAATACATACAAATTCTCTTACAGTTTGTGACTAAAATATGGCAATCCTGATCTACAAGTAGCAAAACTTGACCCATGCTAAGTGCAATGCAACTACCACCCACCACCATCACTCACCATACGGCGCTCCCTTATTCCGCCGCCGCCGCGTGTCCCACCGTCATTATTTCTTATTATTATATCTACCCACAAACTAACCATCAATTCACATCCAAAACCATGTTTTACATATTTTGTCTTTTGACACCCTTTTTCATTTTCCTTGATCCACACTTCACTTAAGACACCTCCTTTTATGTATACATGCACCAAAAATGTTATTTTTTTGTTTCAAAATTTAAACCTATTAACTTTATTTTTGTTTCAAAAATTTAAAGAGACCTCTTCTCTCTGGACCCTTTATTCGAATGCTTTCTTGTTGAGTCTGACAACCTGATTGCTCATGGCAAACTTTAAAAGTTGTCCCTTTTGTTTATGTAATTTTATGGACAACTTAGATCATTCACTGTAAAAGAAGTTGAATTTAGTATTAATAGTATTTTACAATATTGCAAATTGATGTTCAAATTCTAGTTAAACTATATATTCTTTTATATGTTCATTCCTTTTGGAAATAGTAACATTCAAGTGGCCGATTCATGAATGGACTTTGGAACTTGGAACTACGTATGCCTATCTTTTGTGCTTCGTTATGTTCCAGTTTTGTTCGAATCCCATGCACCTTGTCTTTTCAATAAACAAGAAAAGATAGTAAAAGTTTATGTGCTGGATAAAAATATTTAATCACATTTATCACATAGATAGAATTAATTGAATAAAACATTAGACACACAAAAATTAAACCACATCTCGAGTTTATTTTCTAAATTTTACTTTAATTATATTATCTCAGCCTTAGATTCACATACATACTACAAAGTCTACCTATTAGAATTTTCATTTCTCAACTTTTTATTTATTTGATTAAAAGGATGTCTCATCTTTTAATTAGATTTTGGCTATAGTATAGGTACATCCCATTCCCATGAATGAGAACAATGATGTCAATCATTTATGAATATAATAAATATTAGTACTATTCCTAATTTAGGTAAGCGTGTGCTTTGATTATTAAATTCAGTTTGAGAATGGTGTTAGCTTCTATGGAATCTTTTTTTAGCAAAAGCATGCCCCCGTGAGTAACATATCCCAAAGATTTAGGGTTAATTATGATGATTGTGCATTCTCTTCAATTGTTTTGTTTAATATTCTAGAAAAATCTACTACTACTCGATCACAATTTTTTAACAATTATAATCAATTACAATGTTATTAATTTCAAAACAAATGTAGGACACTGTACCCTTAACTATTTTTAATGAAACATCATTTTTAAGCAAATACAGTATTTTTCTTATAAAAAAAAGTTAAGCAAAAACATATCTATTTGAAATCTACTCCCTTATGATGCCAAATTTTTTAATTAAAAATACTATGTTATCAAATAAATAATAATAATAATAATAATAATAATAATGAAATATAGCAATGAGTGTCATTTAGGTATTGTTGAAAATTGTGTGGGCGAGAATCAAGATCCTTTTCTGTTCTCCCACCTTTAACCAGATATAGATAATAGAAGTATTCAAATATAGAATACAATAAACATTCAAACATAATCATGAATTTAGTTTCCCTATTCCCTTTCACCCCTTTATTTGTTCCAGTTTTCCCCTTAAACAAACCAGCGCTAATATTTTCAGCTTTGGAATGAAGTTCAGTTGATCCAAAAATTGGAAATTGTTGAAAACTAACTTTATATATGCGACAAACACATTGTGATTGATATGTCATCTTCAAGTCAAATTAGGTACCCCTTAGTGTCAACACATTTGCTGTGTTAGTGCTCATAATCAAATATTCCACTGAAACAAAATTTGAAACTTGAACATGGATGCAAACCTTGACATTTAGGGTGGTTGTTTCACCATCTTTGAACAGTGCTAGGTCTCCATGTCATCCATGAAATGAGTTATTGATTCCTACAAGATATGCCATTATCATTCTCCAATTAATCTTGTCCCTTTGCTTCCTCTCACACATATGTGGTTCTGTCCCATCATATTATGCCTTTTTAAGCCTTCACAATTTGCTGCTAATCACACAATTAGAACACTGAGGTCTGTTAAAAATGACCAACCGGGTCTGCTGAAAAGGAAATGGTGACCACACTTTGTGTTTGTTCTAGCATTTCTCTTGTTCAATATTCACTTGTTTTATAAGCAACAAAGCCATAGTGGAGACTAATGAATATAAGTGTGGATACGAATGATAAGTTTGCATAATTTGGCACGAACAATGGGGATGGTTGTTACTCTAAAATAGAGACAGAAACCAGTCCAAATGCTGAATATTCTTTTGATTTCGTTCACTTGATGCAGCCCTGACCCATCTCATTATACATTCTTCAACTTTCTAATCATTACAACATATAATCAAATTGCAGCATTGCCCACCAATAACAACCTATTATTAACCTCACACAAAGTTTGATACATAAATAAACAGAAAGTTGGTTCATAGTAATATATATTAAGGCTTAAAAAATTGTCAGTCACAATTTCAGCTATATCCTCGAGGTTTTAAGATCTTCACATCATATTGCAATCACCATTCGTTTTAAATTTTTGGTGTCATCAAGAATTAGAATAAAACTTGTGACCACCACCACGATTATTACAGATTAAACATACAATTGCCCGAATTAATTGAAAGTCCCATCAAGTTTATATAATTGGATAGATGAGGTTGATGAAATTGTATGATGAATAAGAAGCATTAACTAATATGCAGTTGAAGGTCCCATCAAGGCTCATAGGGATTATGAAAAGGGTACTACTAATAGAGTTCAACCACTATTCTCTGTGTTAATCATCAAAACGATGCCTTTATGACATTGGACCAACCCACTGCACCCCACCGTTTTACTCTCATAGCTATACATATTTCAATCTATTTCCATATTTTAATCACTTATTAAGTTTGTATTTTATTCTTCATTTAAAAATAATAATTTAAATTATATTTTATCTTATTTCCTCTAATATTAACTCATATTATTCTAATAATATAGTTAATATTAATTTTCATATATAAAGTAATGTGTATTTTAAAACTCTAACAGATGATGAGATAAAATTATATATAACTCTATTTTTAATTTTAAATTTTAAGTAATATGAAAACTTATAAGTTGAGAATTAAGGAGTAAGAGTGATTAGTCCTACGACAACTGTCAGATGCTCCATTTAAAAATAAGAATATTATAATTTTATATTTATTATTATAATATTATTAAGATTAATTATTATGTTTGAAGTATTATTTATTTTAAAACTCAAATATAATACAATTTTATCCTTATTTTGATAAATTAAAAGGTGAAATTGTATATAAACTACTTTTAACATCTATTTTTAAGTGAAACTCATCAATATATTGAAAAAATTAAAATATTTTTATTCCTAATTTTATAATTGGAATGTTAGTTTTCTTCTATAAATTAACTTATATATTATTTTGTATAAATTTGTAAGAAAACAATTATACTATAAATTAAACATTTATTAATAAACTATTCTGATTTTCATTTTCTTACAATTATACTATAAATTAAACATTTATTAATAAATTATTTGCTCTTTGAGTTTCTATCTTCCAGTGACTCAGATATTGTAGAAGGAGTTGATAATTTAATAGCAGTCCGTTTTAATATTAATCTTTTACCCTGACAACGTATTTTTATTTTGTATACTTATCATCAAACTTTTCTTTTTCTTAAATAAAATGTTTATTTGAATACGGTGTAGAATGTTTGTATAGATAACCAAAATAAACTTCCTTTAAATTATTAATTTTAAAAGTTATAACTTTATTAGATAATTAAATAAAAATATTACTTTAATTTGATATCCAAATGAGTATATAAGATATTACAAAACGAAGACATCATGAATGTATAGTACTTTAGTAATTATTTGTTAAAAATTAAAAAATGGTTTAATTATTTTTTTATCTCTCAAATTAAAAATAATTATGTTTTCTAATTTATATATTGTACGTTTTTTTATATATATTATGATGTATGAACAAAATAGAAAAAAAAATGAAAAAGGGAAGTAAATAATGATGCATGTTCAACATCCCAAATTTATAAAGTTTCAAAGCTCTATTTCCTCCTAATTTTTCATAGTGACCTAAAAAAGATTTGACCCTTTTAAAAATTAAATAGCTACTACATTAAAACGATTGATTTCTCATGAGATTCAGCATAGCATAAAGGTGAATAAACACAAAGGGGAAAGTTGCAGCAAAACATAGATTAATTATGCCAAAATTCAATGAAATAGTTGACTAGGAACAATGTTTTTGTCATGTGGGTGCAAGTGCCAAAAATGTTGGCATTAAAAGAAACAAAAGTACAAACATTATCCAATTATTCACCATTCTCACCAACCAATTACCATTTACAGCCCCACATATTTGACCACACAAATATTCCTTGACCTCTCTTCACTTCCATTGTCTCTTCCACATTACTAACATTCTCTCTGTGTTAGGGTTTGGGGGAAAAAGTGATAGGGGAATGACTGTTAGGGCAAGTAAAAATAAAGGGCAAAGGTTGAAGAAGCGTCAGTGATTCAGTGATTTAACCAAGGGTGAAGATTTTGCTACGGTAAAACGTATCTGTCACTGATTCTTGTAAATGTGGGGTGAGAGACTGAGGGACACCATCTCAAAACACGCTTTACATGACACTTTGGACCCACCTTGCATCACTCTTTCTATCAATACACATTCTTTGAATAAAAAATAATTAATTTAAAGATATTTTCAAAAATATATTAAAAATTTCTTTATTTTAACTAATTTATTAACATAATATATTAGTTTTAATATTATATAACATATAGTTATTTTTAAAATTAAAAAGATAACTACATATATGAAATAATATTTTAAAATATTTGATGTTAATAACAAAATTAAAATGATATATTTTATGATATAATTTAAGATAAATAATATCATCTAAACAAAAATATTATAATTTTTTTATTAAAATGATTATAAACAGTAATATATTTAAGATCTTAAGATAATAAAAATAATTTATTTTTTAAATAATATATAATTAGAAAACCTCCTTTCATATAAGTGATATAGTTGTATATTCTTAATTATATTAGTATTCATATTATAGAGCAGCAAGTTTAAATATATAAAATTACAAGACAAAATAAATTTCAGATAGATATTAGTTATTTTAATAAAGTAAGATGAACTCTACATTTATATATATATATATATATATATATATATATATATATATATATATATATATATATATATATATATATATATACTCCCGTCACATATATATTACGAGTAAATAACTAGAATTAATTAAGAAATGATGATGTTGATAATGATAAAAAGGAAGAGGAAGGAGGGTAATAGCATGTGAAAATGAATAATTTGAATATGAAATTATGATGTGGTGGCCTTTGGTTGTTAAATTGTATCTGTCTCTCCTACATTACATATACGTGTTTAACCTGAAACAGCTTGCAGATACGAGAAGGAAGACACAGAGGATTGTTTCCAGCATACTTGATAGCAACAATGAGTCCTCATATATTTTCCATCACTATTGCTGTTTCTTACTGTATATTGTGTCCATTGGTTTTGTCACAATCTCATTTTCTGCATTATGGCTACCTGTCTTGTGCCTATTCATGCTGTCTTTGTCCATCATGTAGGATAGGTTTTAGCTAAGAAATGACAAAAAATAGTAAAACTCGGCATTTTTGCCCTGTCCATATTTGATTTCATAATATCCATCTTTTTTTTCATCAAACTCTCATTCAGTATATATATACCGTTAAACATTTGTTATAAGTTGATGAAATAAGAACGAAAAAGAAAGGGTCACCCTGCATGCATGGCATGAACATGCTACGATGATGATGAAGACATACACTTATATGTATGAATGAATATCTAGGTTTGAACCAGAGAGAGGAATTTCATTAATGGACAAGCAAGCTGGATGAACAGTTATGGTGATGGATGTTTCTCGTCAGACACTCTCATGCATGCTTAAACCTAATACTATGTCATGAGACGCTTCTTCTTCATGCAACTGTAACATCCTTGTCCCCTCTTTCCTGCTAGGAACTCGTGACCAGAATAGTGAAGGAGTCATTAATGTTGTAGTAAGTGCTATAACATTGATGTGTCCTACGTAAATCTGTACATGTTGAATAATGTGATAGTGTCTTATTCCTCGTGCACTGGATTGAATTCACAGTGAACTGTAACTAAGATCAATCAGATCAGTGGTGAAGACACTGTCAGAGACTTAGTATTTTGGAATTATAGGTCTCAATTTATACTTTAAAAAATATTTAAAATATACATAAAAGGTGATTTGGTAATTGAACGAAAACATAAAATAAAAAATATAAATTTAGTTTTGAGAAAAGGTGTTTGAAATTGTAAATTTGCAGAGTTTATGTTGTGTTTTGTTTGTGTGGGAGTGGCATCTACAATCACACCAAAACAGCAGAGTCTCCGAATAATATCGTACAGTTTATTCTGTGGATCAAAGGGACCCACCCTCTTCACTTGCATAAGACAAATATATTTTTTTTAATGCAAAAACAATAAAGACAATCAAATTTCATAAACAAAATATGCTTTTTAATTTTCTTATTTTAGAGGAAAATGGATATAAAAAAAGTTACCAAATACAAACACTTTTCTCACTTTAACTCAAAAAAGGGTTCAAACCAAACATGCTTTAATCTTATGCTCAAATTTTATTTTACCAAATTTTACCTTGTGTTATATCTTTTATTTTTATTTTTTACCTTTATATTAAAAGCTACAAAGCACAAAGACAAAAGCATAGGGGCATTTACCAAATTCCAAAGTCCCTTTATATTACAGGTTTTTAATAGTTATACTTATTTTAAGTATCTTTATTATGATAATTATTAAAATTTTATTACTAACATAACTTTCTTACTTCATTATCTAATTATGTATTATCATACATGCTAAATTTGATAAATTTTATATTGAATATTTTAAATTTAATTCTTTTAAGAATTTAACTTTTTATTATAATAAGGAAATTTTGAGAATTATATTTTACTGTATCAAGAAAATAATATATCATTTGTTAGTCGTTAATTAAACAATATTTAATTAGTCCAAAGTTGTAATTATGAAGTGTGGTGGGGTATATTTGCATGATGGGAGCGAGCAACGAGACCCGTTGATCAAATCCTCAAAAAGATCAACGGTTGTCACAAATGTCCATGCTCTTTTAATAGAACTTCCTATTTCCACTTCCCACTCTCAACCATTTCATTCACTCTTTAAACCAACCCTCTTCATCTTCGTTTCATAACAACCCGAAACCCGGAAATGGAGAAGGAGCGACCCGCATGGAGACCCGACCCATTTCACGCCATGACGCCGCGCGACCCCATGGAGTTCCTCTCGCGGTCGTGGAGCGCCTCCGCGCTGGAAGTCTCGAAGGCCCTCTCTTCGTCTCAACAGCTTCCACCTTCTTCCAACAAAACCAACGCCAACAACAACCTTTGTTCTAACAATTCTAATGCCTCTGTGATACTCGAAGACATAGCGGGTGAAGTTGAAGAATCAGCCACTGTTTCTGGCAACCCTTTCTCCTTTGCTTCCTCTGAAACCTCGCAGATGATCATGGATCGTATCATGTCCCACTCCGTATGCTCACTAACTCTTCTCTTCTTCCATTCACTCTTCTTCATCCTTCCATTGTTTTTCTCTGCAAGTTCTTGTATGTAAGAAGGAGAATAAGAAAACAAGTTCATTTGAATTTTTTTCATAGAGATTAATGCATTAGTTGCTAAAAACCGGGGCATATTAGTAGTTGAATTCAGTGCAGGAAATTGTTTTTTCTTTATCAGTTTTGAGGCTGTAAAAATTTTAGTCACAAAAATTGTTTATATGTAGGTTGTTGTTTCATTATTTTTTCTTTATAATTAGATTAATGATTTAGTATTTGTAGATATACAAACTCTTTTCAGTGTTTACATTCAAAACTTCTCTATTTTAGACATTTTAATTTTTTTAGTTCATGTGTATACAATTTTTAATCTTTTTTAACTTTCAAAATTTATAAAAACTAAAAAAATTAGCATGTATGAAATATGAATAATTAAATTATATATGAATTTTAAGAAATATCATTTCAACACATATCCTTAATTTTACATTATAATCACGTTTTTTGTTATTAATAAAAGAATTAATTATAATCTAAAATTTTAGTGGGTTTGATTTTATGTTTAACGAGTCTCTTAATTTTATAGTTTTTTTTTTTAATTAAAATAAAATGTCTTGGAGAAAGAACTTTAGAGAGTGGTAAAGAACATGTCTGCACCAGTTGTCTTCCATTCTTGTGTGTTTATGGTGACAAAAAACTGAAGCAAAATGGGTGGTTTTGAGTTTGGTCAGCAGGAGGTGTCGCCAAGGACCTCAGGAAGGCTCTCTCACAGCAGTGGCCCTCTTAATGGCTCCCTCACAGATAGCCCCCCAGTCTCCCCTTCTGAGATTGATGATTTCAAGGTAACCATGTCCCTCTCTTTCTCTCTCTAAACCGACAAACATGTTTTATTTTCAATGGAGTTCAACTTTTTTGTTTGGTGCAAAGCACGAACACTGATATCACTGCACACTTGGAACCAACCAACCAACCATACCAAACATGTAGTTTCAGCTTTCTCTCTTACCAACAAAACAAACAAATTTGGAGAGAGTCCTCTGCTTTTCTCTCTTCAATGCAAACAAAACAAATAAACTAATACTTGTTTTGCTTTTTCTTCTTTTTTCCACTACCCACTAAAAGATTCAATAAATTACAAACTAGTTAACAGAAATTAGTGTGACGAGCAGGAAAAAAAAGAAGAAGCAATTATGTTGCTTCAGCGCTCATGTTTCTGGGTGTTTCAATTATTTTGTTCAGTTTACAATAACTAAAGCTGCACTTGTTTTGTTTCTATTGTAATTTATGTTACAAGGTTATCCTCCACAATTATTTGTGGTCCCCCCTCTTTGTCAAATTGGTCAACAACACCAACAAAAACCATTCTTCTGACTCCTGATCATCCCTTGAAAAAATTCCCTATTGGGTTGCATTAATAGCTGTTGGACCACCCTATGAAGAAAATTGGATTAAACATAATCATAAGCACAGGCCAAGATATAAATAAAGATAAGTACAGAGTTTGGCTTGTTCTTTTTTTAAGAGCAGCAGAGACTAGTGTTAACAATTTTTATTAACTTAGTACTGAAATATTTACAGATATTGATAAGGTTTTAGTGATTTGGAAATAAAAACAGAATTTTCACTGACATGACAAGATCCGATGTGCTACACGCAAAGTTTATGTCGCAATAAAGGTTGTTGGTTACTTGACTATGTTGTTGCTTAGAATGGTCCCTCACATGCAATTTTTCTCTGCAGTATAACCGTTCCAACAACAACCATAACGCCACCAGCATCATCACCGGCCTGAATGGTCAATACTGGGGTGCCGGTGGCGCAGCCGCAGCTGCCGCCGCAGGCGGTGGCAAGACAGTGGGGAGGTGGCTGAAGGACAGGAAGGAGAAGAAGAAGGAGGAGACCAGGGCGCACAATGCTCAGCTCCACGCGGCTGTTTCAGTTGCTGGCGTCGCCGCTGCTGTTGCCGCCATCGCCGCCGCCACTGCAGCCTCTTCCGGCTCCAGAAAGGACGAGCAGATGGCGAAGACTGACATGGCGGTGGCGTCGGCAGCCACGCTGGTGGCAGCCCAGTGTGTGGAGGCAGCCGAATCAATGGGTGCCGAGCGTGACCACCTGGCCTCGGTGGTCAGCTCCGCCGTGAACGTGAGGTCTGCCGGCGACATCACGACGTTGACGGCAGCTGCCGCTACAGGTATGCGTAGGACAATAAAAACAAATGACATTTACTTTAATTAATTAGACATGAAAAAATTAAATTATATTTGCATAATTATTTTGATTTCACTATGATGTACATAACTTTAAAGGTCAATTTAAACGTAGGAGATTATTGATTTTGTGATAATTATTTTAAAAATATACATTTTAAGGTAATTTTTTAAGTAGTTGTATTGTATTGAATCAAAGAATATATTGTAATAAGGAATCTTACTAAAACTCCACTGTTGAGACTGTGAATTGTTATTTTTTTCATATTAACTTCACACTTGCTTTTAGAAGAATCAAATTCAAAAACGTTATATTACTAGTCTCTCAAAATTAAAGTTATTTAATTTTCTCTCAATTGTTGTTTTTATACTATCATTTTGGAGGTATATCCTAACATAGGACAAACTTTTATTATCTTAGTTTGTTGCTTATGCAATATTTCCAGCTAACTCTAGTGCTTGTTTGCAAAATGGATCTGTCTGTCCCCACATGGGATTTTTTTGTGGGTTTTGGTGCTTTTGTGTTGAGTATGGTGTTTGTGACTTGATTATGCAGCTTTACGTGGGGCAGCCACGTTGAAAGCGAGGGTCCTTAAGGAGGTTTGGAACATAGCAGCTGTGATTCCAGTGGAGAAGAATTTGGCTGGCGGTGGCGGTGGCGGCGGTAACGGTAGCAATGGTAGTTCCAATAGTAGCTTCAGTGGAGAAATTGTTCCAGAAGAAAATTTCTTGGGTATCTGTTGCAGAGAATTGCTAGCCAGAGGTTGTGAACTTCTCAAACGCACACGGACCGGTATATTTCCTGAAATTTACATTTCTGTTCTGTATTTTAAATGTGTTTGATTCAGAATATTTGTTGCAATTAGTTTTGTTCTCTGCTAACATAATTTGGCATGGTCTGTGTGTTTGTGTCTGTGGAGTAAAAGGCATTAGTAAAGCAGATTCTGTTGTGTTATTTTTGAATTTCTTGTGTTTCTTCCTTATATGATGATTAGAAAATGATTTGATTGGAGAATTGGTTGCACTTGCAGGTGAACTGCATTGGAAAATTGTATCTGTTTACATAAACAGGATAAACCAGGTGACTTTTTGTCTACTTTGTTCCAAATTATGTATTATGTACAATGTTGATGTACTTTTGGTTCTAGGGTATATAGATAGGCAATTATTTGGTGATCAATTAAGAGTTTTGATGATGAGTATGAACCTGGTTGTGGAAAAAGTTATAAAGTGAGGGCGCTTAGAATGATGTGATGTCAAGGGATCAGATCAAGTTGTTTAGTTTTCCAAGAAATCTGCAAATTGTGATGACCCTTTGGAGGTTCTTTTTGTGCTCAGGTTATGGTGAAGATGAAGAGCAGGCACGTTGCTGGGACCATCACAAAAAAGAAAAAGAGTGAGTCTTTGATTTTGGTTTACTTTTTTGTCCCACTCTTGCTAATAATTTAACTGAATTGGAGGTGGGTCTTGCTCCGTTTGGGGATTTGTGAAAGTCGTGGTCTTTAAAGTAGGAAAAGAATCAAAAGGGTTGTTCTTTAAGTTTAACCAAACCCCTTTTTTGAAAAACTTGCGCAGATGTGGTGCTTGGAGTGATCAAAGACATGCCTGCTTGGCCTGGTCGCCACTTGCTTGAAGGTGGAGAGAACCGTCGCTACTTTGGTTTGAAAACAGTGATGCGTGGTGTTGTTGAATTTGAGTGCAGAAATCAGAGAGAATATGATGTGTGGACTCAGGGTGTGTCAAGGCTTCTGTCCATTGCTGGTGAGAGGAACAACAGAAACAGAATATGTAACATTTGATTGTGAAGAAATTTTGGGATTTGGGAAAAGGGAAATGGGAATAGGATCCTTGCTAGTGTGAATGATGATGGTGATAATGATCTAATGAACATGGTAGTAGATCTTTTGATATATGGTGGGGTGGGGGTTTGATCCAAAATGTAAAAAATTGAAATGATGTTCTAATTCTGCCATATGGAGGTTTCTTACTTTCTTACTTTCTTTAAGCTTGGGGGACACAGTTGGATATTTTTATGTATTTTTTGAATGGGAAAGTAAAGTCATTTGAACCAAAGTGATAGAAAATAACGTGAAACTTGGTGTTGTTCTTTTGCTGATTTGGAAAGAAGTTAAAGGAGGAAGTATCTTAGACCAAATGCAGTCAAAAGAAAAGAACAAAAGAATAATGGGTCACGTTTGTGTGAAGTGTAGTATTGAAGATAAAAAAGACAAAGGGTGATGATCTAACATTGGATCCCGAGAAAATAGTTTAAGGTTTGCGATATGGTCATCATTGTTTTGGATTATATTCTTCACTTTGTGTATTTGTTTGATTAAAGTAAAGTAATACTGCTGAGATCGACCTAACATGTAAATAATCTTCACTTTTCTTCAAGATGTGGTAAATTTAATATTTAAAAGGTCTTTTTTTTTTGTTCTTTTCTAAATCGTTTTCATAAAGTTTTATTTACCTAGTGTGTAACCCAATTTAGGGAATAAAAATGCTCTTTTGCTACATTGCCAATTTGCCACTCATCACCTCAAGTCAATATTTAACAAAGAAATTCACGACTTAATTATATTTAACAAACAAATAAATTATTCATGTAATCTTGCATATTATACAATTTTAATGATTACATATTAATTTTACAATTAGGTAATAATGTTAAATATTATATTACAACTTACGTTCAAAATTTTAAACTAGTTACTTCAAAATATATTTCATGAATAATAACAATAATAATTAAAATCAATCATCTTACAAACATATGTTTAGATTAAAAATTATAATAATTAATAATTTAAAATAAAAACATATTACTATGTGTACGTATAAAAGCATACTCTAATTTTTAATTTAGTTAGTCCTAAATATATTTTTAGTCCCTATAGAATTAGTAAATTTTTATTTTGATCCTATAATGTTTTTTTTTCATCCTTTAAAAAGTTAAAATCAATCTTTTTAGTCATTACAAAATGCATAAATTTTGGTATTAATTTCTATAAAATCAATCGTTGTGTATTGTGTTGTGAACACTATGTTTGTTTGGTGTCTAATAACGGCGGGGCTGGACCAACAGTATGGGCTGGGATTTTCTCCAATTTTAATTTGGGCCATAGAAAAACCCACACTGGCCCCTGCAAGAGTATGGGCTGAATTTAATCTGGTTTTAGTTTGGCTCTTGCTTACTGCACCCCCATAATTTCTTCATGTACCTCCATATTCCTAAACCTTTCCCATAATTTTGTTTTTTACTCTAACTTTTTCTTCTATTTATGTACAACTTCTGCACTTCTATCCCCCAATACCTTCATCTCTTGGCTATTTGATTTCTTTGTATTATCACCATTATTGAAGACCTTTTATGACAATTAAAAGTAAGTAAACAATAATATTATATGTAAATTACATATTTCTATACTCAAATTGTACAAACATATCCAAATTGTTCAATTTAAAACAATATCGTGAAAATAAGGTTAAATTTCAGAAATTCCAATTCGAAAATGCATTCAAGAGTGGGTGTTTAGGAATGTGTTTTCAGAAAAAACAATTCAAATATATATTTCGGATTAGGTGTTCCAGAATGCATTTCCAAATTAGTTTTTCTAGAAATATATTCTGGAAAACCTAATCTGGAATTCATTCTCAGATGAGCCTTTCTAGAAACACATTCTGGAACACCTAATCCAGAATGTATTTCCAAATTGGTTTTTCTGGATACATGCAAAATGCATTTGAGAAATAAAGATGAAGATAAATATAAGGGTAGAATGAAGTTTAATTTTATTATGTGGGTGTAAGGAGAAATTATTGGGTGTAGGAAGTAAAATCCTTTTATTTCTCACAATGAAAAGGTGTTGTTGGGCCTTTGGTCCACTAAAAGTCAAACAAAAAATCAATAAGACTTGAACCAATACAAAATATCCAAAAAGACTAATGGTGACAAGGCTATATAAAAGCCACAAGTCTGTCATCTAATTCTGCAGCGAAAACTTAGCAGAAACTCAAGTGTCAGTTATGTGTTCGTATTCAACTACCGCTGTCTTTGATACTGGAAAGTACACAACTGAGATTATAAGGGTCGAAACTGAATCATATACACAGCAAAATGGTACACTTTGTTTCCTTTAACTTTTACAATTATGTTTTCTGCATTTTTTTTTGTTACTCAAAGCTCAGTTCACTGTGTAATTTGTTTTCTTTTTCTATGCTCAGTTCCACCACCAAAACCTCTGTTGATTGCCACTCCTCTTGAAGCTGGAGAATTCTCACTTCTGATGTTCCTACATGGCTATCTTCTTTACAACTCATTCTATTCTCAGCTAATAGAATGCGTTGCTTCTCATGGCTTCATTGTCATTGCGCCGCAGGTTACCCTTTTACTTCTTCATTAATGTAAAAATTTATAGGTTTTGCATGTTGCAGGTTCTAAGAAAATCCCTTCTAGAAGAAAATTAGTGTTATCTGAATAATCTGTTTTAATTACATGTGTTGTTTCCCTTGGACATTGATTGGAAAGTGATTTTCTTTTGTTAGTTATCAAAATAAAAATTAGCAAGTGTGTGGTCAATGCATTACTTTATTATTCTGCTATCTTGGAATTCAAAAGAACTCTAAATAGTATCATTACATTTGACCACTGCATCCCTTAAAAGACTTTCCAAAGGGAGGAGGATATATATATATATATATATATATATATATATATATATATATATATATATATATATATATATATATATATATATATATATATATATATATATATAAATGAAGTTATAAAATTTCAAAATAAGTAACATCTTAGGATGAATAACACAACTAGCTTAAAAGATTTGATATAATTGAGTATAAACATTTGAATAAGTTCATAGTTGTTCCCTGTGATAGCTTATCATTTGAATACCCAACTGGGAAAAAAGATTTTGGATAATTATTTTCTAGGAAAGCATGATTATTATGAGTAGGTTAGTTTATCGTGCCATTGGATTAGAATAATGTAAGTATTTTTTTTCTTTAGACATAAGGATACGTATCCTAAGCATCATAATTATGGGAAATCAATAGAACTTATTGTGATGTTGTGGAAGATTCCATGATCAAACAAATTGGTTTCTTTCCCTTGATCCTTTTGTGTAACATTGCTAAGTATGTGGGGCTAACCCTTTTTGATGCAAGTAACCCTTATGTGTGGAGAAAGGGTCAATTTATATGTAGCTAGATATCTTTGATATGGTACATCCATCGATTATAAAGTCAATGAGTGAGATTTATTTGCTATTTTTTTGTCTCTCCTCAATTTAATTAATTAAAGGGGATAAATTTGTTCTTTAGCAGTTATGTAGCGAATAATTCTGTTTAACATTTGAGTTTTGAACCAAGTATCTGATGCAAACTGTCCAAATCCCATTGCTTGAAAGTACCGATTGAGAAGAAGCATCTATCCTTTTAATGTTGAGGACATATTCATCAAGGCATTTTAATGTTTTCCTCATTTGAGTTCTCTTGTTCAAAACCAAACTAAATGTTGAAAGCATATAATCTGAATGAGTGATTAATACCTTTGTTGGGCATGTCTCCTGATTCAGAATTACACATTGAAACATTACAACATATTTTGTAGAGAGCTCCGGAAAACACTTACAACTTTTTTCTATGAAGAAACATTGAGCTTTGTGTTAGAATGTATTTGATTTGATTGTTGCTACAAAATTACTGGTAGTCACCCTTGAAATGCTAGGTTAATTTAAATCTTGTTGGCACTTGACAGTTGTACACAGCGGCAGGACCTGATACAAGTGATGAGATTCATTCTGTAGCTGCAATAACAAATTGGCTATCTCAAGGACTCTGCAACTTTCTTCCACCAAATGTAGTAGCGAACTTGAACAAGCTAGCACTTTCTGGCCATAGTCGTGGAGGCAAAACAGCATTTGCTCTTGCTCTAAGGAAACTAAACATCACCACTGATATAAAGTTTTCAGCTCTGATAGGAGTGGATCCAGTTGATGGAATGGATAAAGGAAAGCAAACTCCACCACCAGTTCTCACCTATGATCCTCACTCATTTGATTTTGATATGGCAGTGATGGTCATAGGGTCAGGTCTAGGTGAGGTGAAAAGGAATCCTTTGTTCCCCCCTTGTGCACCTAAGGGTGTCAACCATGAGAACTTCTTCAACGAGTGTAAGAAACCTGCATGGTATTTTGTGGCCAAGGATTATGGCCACTCTGACATGCTAGATGATGATACCAAAGGAATTAGGGGGAAGGCTACATATTGTCTTTGCAAAAATGGAGAGTCAAGGAAACCTATGAGGAGGTTTGTTGGAGGCCTCATTGTTGCATTCTTGAAAGCATATTTGCATGATGATTATGGGGACTTATTGGCTATTAGAGACAAGCATGTGAGTCTACCATTGGATTTCAAATTTGATTCGTATGTGTGAAAATCAGAGAAGATGGGGAGCATATATTCCTGTTATCATGACACATGACATATGACTGAACTTTTTGCGTTACAAATGCATACATGTATTAGATCAATGTCACAGGTGAAATGCATCATCATGAACAAGATATTAATAAAATGTTCTTTTTGACATTGCATGTAGTCTTTTTCTGGCTCAAAGATAGAAGTATTTGGCAGACATAAAAACCATTAACCATAGAAGATTGTAGTTGAAGCAATGTTACGACTCCCTCATTTCAAATGGAAGATTAAAGAAATGTTATATAATATAGATTTTAGAAATTGTTAATCTTTTTTATTCATCTCTTGAATTACGAGATATTAAATTCCTTTCAGTAATATTAAACTTGGCTTGCGACTCAGTAGAAGATAACTGGACATCATTCCTGACACAAAACTTAGCCATGTCAGGAAATGCTACGTGTGAATTTGTTAGCCTGTTATTAAGAAAATAAAATAAAACGATTGCCTATGAAAAGGGGCATCCTCAGTGACATAAAATGCTGCTCTAAACCTAACTTTTCTGCATCCTATCAAACATGATTGTTTAAGAATAATAAAATATATAAATTTTATATGTTAAAAAAAATATTGTATTTAATATATTGTAAAATTTTGTGAGTATTAAAGAACATTAGGGTTTCCACTCCCAGTCTTTTCCTTCACATGACACCTTATCCAGTTCTGGAGAAAAGTTCTCACAACTCGTTGCCATTGAATTATGAAGAGGTGAAGAGGACAAACGAAATCAGATGGACACAATGATTAAAGAAAGAACCAAAGAGGAAATATTCTGAGATTCTCTGGAAACTTCTCTCTCAATATCTACGTCTCTGTTCATCATATTATATTTTCCTTTCACATAACATAATCACGTGCTACACTCTTATATTCATTCACATTACAACTTCTTTGTCCTACTAATTCACCATGTTGTTTAGTTGATTCTGATATACTAGGTTGTGTTGTGTTTATAACATGTAACCTTGTCATTAAACACTTAGACAAATAAGTTTGTTATTTATAACAAAATCATGTTTTTGTTTCTAACATGATGTTAAGAAAATAATAAAATGTTTGAAAAAAATTGGATGGTGAATATTCATGAAAACTTTATAACAAATTAAAAAACAAAAGCATATAAATAATGTAAACATCGATGTCAAAGCCGACATGACATATCTTAACAGGGAAAAAATAAATAAACACTTAACGCATTCACAACACTTGAACAAAAGAAAATTAAAAATAATAAACAAAATCACACACACAAACAAATGAGATCAGAAATATCTGAGATTGCCACTTTGGGACTTCCTGTTCCTTTCGTCATGTGACCTTTAAAAGGAAAGGACTCAGAAAAAGAAAGAAAAGAACAAAAGCAACAGCTACTGTTTACTGATTCTTAATTATGACATGTTTTGATCAGTTTTTCTTGTTTTAAAAAATATCTAAATTAAATAATTATTTTTTATAAATTTTAAGTTATCAAAAAATTAATTTTATCTTAATTTTTTAATATTCTGTTTTAAAAGTTCTTTAATGGGAAAACTGGTTGAAGAAGTTCCAAGACAAATCATCTTCACCTCTTGTGTTCCAAATACATATCACAAAACTTTCACTCATTGGTGACCAACACCACCCACAACACACACTTGAACAATTTCTCTGACTTCACACACACTATAGATCTCCTTCTTTCTCTTGTGTGTGCCACCTTTATCTAGTCTTAATTTGAGTTTCACTCCAAAACAGCTCCATTTTAGATGAATATATAGTTGTCACTGACCATCATCACCTTGTTTAGAGAGAGAGCTTCATATTCAAAAATCAAAGCCAAAGCCATCGTTTTTCACCACCCAGATCAAAGCTTGCTGTTGATGAATCTGTTTGTAAATTCCAAATATGAATCCTGTTGATGTTGGTCCTGTGGTTGTGAAAGAGGAGTTTCCTGGAGAAGGGGTGGTTGCTCCACAACCGCTTGAGGGACTTCATGAAAGTGGTCCTCCACCATTCCTCACAAAGACTTATGAAATCGTTGATGATGTTTCCACTGATGAGATAGTTTCATGGAGCAGAGGAAACAACAGCTTCGTTGTGTGGGATCCTCAGGCTTTTTCCATCACTCTTCTCCCGAGATACTTCAAACACAACAACTTCTCCAGTTTTGTCAGACAACTTAACACCTATGTATGTATATTACTCTCTCTCTCTGCATGCTTAGTATGATCCACATGACTTCGTCATATTATAATTGCTTCTCTCGTCTACTAATTTCAATTCTGAAGAATAGGTAAAAATGACATATGTGCACATAACAGTTTTATTTATGGATCAAATGGTGTGTTATTTTGATCCATATGGAAAATGAAACAACATCTCATATGCATTCTTAAGATATACCTGTCTCAATTCTTTGTTGCCATATTGAGATTTTATGGGTATGAAAAGAAGGAACTTGGTGTTGTTGTAGGGGTTTAGAAAGGTGGATCCTGATAAATGGGAGTTTGCTAATGAAGGGTTTCTTAGAGGACAAAGGCATCTATTGAAGAACATAAGGAGGAGGAAGATCAATCATCAACCTCAGCCACCACAACAATCTCTGAACCCTTGTGTTGAATTAGGGAGGTTTGGATTAGATGGAGAAGTTGATGAGTTGAGACGTGACAAGCAAGTTCTGATGGTGGAGCTAGTGAAGCTTAGACAACAACAGCAGAACACAAGAAACCACCTTCAAGAAATGGAAAGTAGGCTCGAAAAGACTGAGCAGAAACAGCAACAGATGATGAAGTTCTTGGCAAGGGCAATGCAGAACCCCAACTTCTTGCAACGATTGGTTCAACAAAGGGAGTGGAGGGAGGAGTTGGAGGAAGTTCTTTCCAACAAGAAAAGAAGACCTATTGATCAAGGGCCTAGTGATGCTGAAGAATACTCAGGTTTGGTTAAACTTGAACAGGAGGAGTACAAATACAATGAGATACCAGAGTTTGACGTTTCTGACATGGAGCTTGTTATGAACATGGGGGAACAAATTGGAAGCCAAAAGAACACTTGTAATGAGGGGAAGAATGGAGGTGAACTTGAAAGTGGAAATGACATTGAGGAAGTACTCTGGAAAGAACTTCTAAATGAGGGTGTTGAAGAAGATCTACTAGCACTGGAGGATGATGATGACGACGACGATGAAGATATAAATGTGTTGGCTGATCAGGAACTTGGTTATTTAGCCTCAAATCCTAAATAAGATTGATGCAATCCAAGGTTGCATTTGTGAATCCTTATAGGTAGTTTGCTTTGATGAGTAATTCAGTTAAAATTTTAGTTAAAATAACTTCAACGTGTTCTCAGGACAGAATATTTTACTCCTGTTCTTATAAATATGGAACTTTTTTAATTTTAATAGTAATGAGATTTTTTGCTGTCTAATATATATATATATATATATATATATATATATTGTTAATGGTGAAATTTCATGGTTAATAAGACTAAGTGAGTGTTTAATGGCTTAATCTTACTGATCTCCGTATCTGCAAGATCATGGTCCATTTAAGTCTAACAGTAACAGACAAGAAAAATGTTAAGAAGCAAATGGTCTTGAGATATGATTTTGCAGGAAAAGTGGATGTTGTGGTGTCGAGATATGATTGCAAGATTAAAGCCAAAGGTTATTACCTTCCAAACAAATCCAGAAGTAGCTAGCAACAGCAACACAAACGCTAAAACATAATATAAAACTATTATTCTTCAAAACTCTGTTTTTCTTTTATCATTGTTCTTTTACATTCTAGCAAGTGCAGTGGACCATATTCAAAAAGTCTGAATCAGCATCACAGTAACTTTAACAGTGGACCATTTTCAAACTGCTACTTATTAATCCTTTAGTGGCCTTTTTCTTGAGGTAAACGTTGTATAAGACTTGGAAAATAGATGAAAGTTTTAAGTATACAAGATCACTTATATAATTGACTTAACCAAGATTGAAAGGAATAGAAAGTGTATAAAAAAAAGAAGAAATTAGGTAGCACCCTTTGAGTGACATGATGATGTATTGAGCAGAGAGAAATGCATGCATGCATGTGCAAGCAATTCTTTGAAGGGTTTGGTAATAGATGGTAGGTACTTTAACAGTTATGTGGCCACTTGTCTGGTTCTGTGACTGTGATAAGATTGCACATGTTCTGTATTAACAGTTATGTCTCTATCCACAATAAATTCTTAGCGTGAAAAAACAAGATTAAAATATTGAGAAAGGCCGAGATCTGTTGGGCTTCTTGAGGAAGTATTGGGCCTTGCAGGGCCTCATCTTTCAAACCTTATCCACACCCACCGACACCTTCCAAAGCGACTTAACTTGTTTAAAAATTATTAATTTTAATTTAACTTTTTTAGTTCATTTATAATTATTTTAAAAAAAATATTTTTCAAGTTTATCCATGTAGTATCTAAATTTGTACTAAAAAAATAAATTGAAAATATGGTCTTTGTAAAATAATAAAAAAAAAAAGAAAAGTTGGTAATTAATGGTGATGGAACATTGATTATGTGGTGTGGTGGCACGTCATCGTCCATCACATCACCACGCCCATTTTTCAAACAAAGCACGCCACATCATTAATTCTACTCATTTATTAACAACGTCTTAAGTAAATTTTTAATGATAGGTATTTAATAATAAAATTAAATATTTTATTATTAATTTTATATTTGAATTGTTTTAAATTTATTAAATTTTGTATTTAATTGATTTTTTTTAATTTTAAGTATTTTTTTATTTTTAAATAATTAAATATGAGATTTATATTAAAATTTATTTTTATTTTTAAGTAAGTATTGTAACAATTTTTTTAGAAATAACTTAAATACTTAAATATTTTTAAGTAAATATTAAATAATTTATTAAAAATAAATATTTTTTTAATTTAAACAATTTTATTTTTTATCTCAAATTTAAATAATATATTTTATATAATAATATATTTATCTTAATTTTATGTTAAATATGATGAAGTATAATTGGTTTTAAAAATTTAATTCGTCGTAATTTTATTTTTAATATATTAATATATATATATATATATATATATATATAAATTATTTTAAATTTTAACTTATGGAATATAAGGTAAACGTATTAAAACATAATATAATTTATAAATATTTATTTTATATTATTAAAAAAGCTTTTTTTTTCTAAAATATTTTTCAAATTATAATTATTAAATAAATTTTTTTAATTTATTCTCTACAACTGTTTCTTAAAATTCTTACTAAAACTATTTTAGAAAAGTTAAAAAAACAAATTAAACCTTTGCTCGTACTATTTTCTTTATGAAATTGATTATCGTGTGATTTTAGTTTTATAATAAAAACTTCTTTAGAAAAATAAGAAATGTACTAACCAAAATATATAATTAATTATACAGTTTTTATAATTAAACTGACTTATTGAGCGATTAGCACGTTTAAACAGACTAATTAATGATAGAAATTAATATTCGATCAAGGTGTGCCACTTAGAATTACAAATAGTTAAATATTATTATAGTTTCCTTTTTTTTTTTAATAGGTGATAAAATGTTTTTTTTTTAAATAACATATATCAAATGATTAGTACTTATCACCACAAGTCATCAAGTCAACCTCATTTATTAATATCATTAAAAAATCTTATTAATTAAAAAATACATTAACTTCAACCACATTTATTGATACTTAAAAAAATATTACATTTCAGGCACTAATAAACAGCGTATTTAAAAAATATAGTTTATTAGGCATATATTATTCTATATCATCAAATAAAAATAATAATTAACACAATACAAATTTATGATAATTATTGCAAAATTTAATATATTTATTATGCTCGATGAGTCATATTCAGATTATGGTTTAATTTTTTGACGACGTAAATATACACATATTTAAGTGAATATGAATAATATAATTTTTTTAACACCTTTACAATTGATTGAAATTGACAGAAAATACCAAATTATGGATGTTAGTACTTTTTTTTCATTATTAATTCATATTTGTGAAAAAAATGTAACAATCTTTTGTCTTTTTCCTGAATGAAAGCTGACAATTTTCCTTGACATCACAATATTTTGACTGTATTCGAGAACCTGTGTTTGGAAGCCATTGTTCCTTCTTCTTCTCCTTATTCTTGTGGTGCACCAACTCCTCTCTTTTTCAAAACCCACCTTCCTTTTCATCTTCCGATCGAACCCTTTTCGCATCTCACCGTGATTCCGCGCAATGCCGTTTCCCTGAACCCGACGCCAAAAACAGAGAACAAAAAAAAAAACAGTTTTTTCATTTGAAACAAGTCAATGGGTGCGGCACCGTCGATGCCTTACACAGCGGAGCATCTCGTCGGAACATTCGTTGGCGACGAGTCCTTCCCTCTCTCCTCTGACTTCTGGCAGAAGCTTCTCGAGCTTCCTTTCGATGCAGAATTTCCCTCTCAACGTGTCCATGAAGCTTGCCAGTTATTAGGTTTGTCATACACTCTTGCTTTCTCTAATCATTCTTTCTGATTACATAGTTTTCAATAACATTTTACCTATAAAACGGAAAGAATGTATTAAAAAGTGTATTCCTAGCACTTTTCAAGTTAAGTTTTGGTTCACGTGGCTAACACCAGAGAAGAATTTATTTGTGTTGTAATACTGCTACAAAACTCTATCACAGTAAAAAGCTGCTACAAAAAAAAAACTACTGAGTAGAGACAGGGACTTGCCGTTTCCTCAAATGGGGATTAAAACTTAAACATAAAGACAACTATGGACCAAGCGAATAATTTAGTTTAACCTTTGTTTTTGTTGAAGAGAAAACTCCAATGAGGCACCATGATTTTTTTAGTGATTTGAGTTCTCTGCGTGTCCTCTGAAGCAATTATCTTGCTATTTTAATGTGTTTGTTAGTGATTAGGTGTTGCTTTGCTTGCTAATGTTTGGTTTTCATTTTGCAGCGAAAAACAACTGTAACACGAGGCATCTTGCCAAGATTTTGTTCCATCTAGCATGCTACGTGCAGGAATCCATGTCTACTTCTGGTGTACCGCCATTGGTTTATGAAAAGGCTGTTAATGTAGTTTACTTCACTTCAGTGTTCCTAAAGCACTTGATTGGCAGTGCCCAAGACGGTGGTGTCGAGTTGTACCTGTCTCTCCATGATAACGAGTCAATACCAAAAAGTATTATGGGAGGTAAGTATTATGTTATATAACGTTCGTAGGACTTTAGAAGTTCATCTTTACTCGGTGCCCTTGCCTGGGAAGCTCTTTTATTTTTCATTTATTATTTATTTTCTATGCACTATCAGTATAATTTTTATATTATCGACCATTAAGAAAGTATGACTCTTAAATTAGTTAGTTATTATAAAAGTCAACAAGCATGTTATTCATGGCAACCTGTGATTGATGATAGCACAAAAGTATTTTACACTGTCAGTGCATTTAAATTAACTTTTTCACTTATTTTGTTTTATGGTAAGTTAGTAAATTTCCAGATATCTGGCCCTGGAATTTCCTCTTCTAGTTATTGAAATTTATCTAGATGCTCTATTCTAATGCAGATCAGACCATTGAAATTCTTGTTATCCGGAATGTGCTTAACTTTATTGCATCTGTAGATGTGAGGTATATCATGAATAACAAATTGGTAAATTGTGGTTGAGTTATTGTGTGAAACTGCAAACTATTTTCACCTTGATGATATATATTGATTTCTTTTAGTCCCAACACATATTTCCTACATCTGGAGCTGCTCCATTTCATGATTATTGCAATGTCAACTCAGCTTCTGTGTGGGCCACCTCCTAGATCGAATGATGTGAACCCATTTCTTGATGCAGCGATGGCTCAGGTAAGAAGCTGAAACTTACACATCTAATTTTGGATATTTAGATTCACTGTATTTCCAGCTAGCAAATTTTAAGTTAGTGTGCTGTTATCTTTTGCAGGATGGCCGTCTGGTTAGTTCAGTTGTGGGCAAATTGCTTTTAAATTACATTACTCTTCCTCGTGTTCCTTTTAATAGAGCATCTTATTCCATCTTTTATGACCGAAGTGAGAATAGTGTGCTAAAGAGAGTTGGTTCTGCAGCTGGTATGGTGACTGAATAAAGTTTTCTATATATGGAGTTTTGAGGTGGAACATTCACTGTTATTTGTGAAAGTTAAATGATAACCAGTCCTCTTAAGAAACTTATTAAGGAATTAAAAGTAGAAATGTTTTTATTGTGATCTTCCCTATGATTCTTTTTGTGCTCTTCCATAATTTTTAATTTTAATAAAAACCCTCTTTTTAATTCCTTAACCAGTGTCCTTCAGGAAGACCTTTCATAAATACTGTGATAATTTTCTTATTGTTCAAAGCTGGACACTTACTGATCATTACTTCTTTTGGCATTTCCTCTTCTCCATTCAGCAAATATTGTTTTATTGCCCTTCAGTTATTTGATCAGTTCAAGCAGTGAAGGTTCAAGAAATCCAATAGCAGATAGCAGTCTTCACGTGCTTCTTGTTCTCATTCATTATCATAAACGTCTTGTGAGTGAGGGCTATTCTGTCATAGAATATCAAGTATCTGCCTCTTCAGATTCTTTACCTAAAGAGAATACATTTTTTTCTGACAACCCTTACTGCATGGCCTTAGAGCATGCAACTGATTGCGAATGTAATATATCTTTTATATCTCTGTGTTCTTTTAGTTGACTGAAAAGACCAATAATATTTCAATTCTTTAAATGCAGTGGATCGTGTCGATTCAGAGGATAATCACAGTGACCAGCATGTAAAGTTGCCCTTTGCGCCGTTGTTTGATACCCTTGGCATGTGAGTATCAGGTTACATGTATGCGTGGTTGACTATTGACTTATTAGATCTATAACAAACTTACATTTTTATATGTTGGGTTTTAGCATACTATCATGAAAAGATGGTAACTTCTGTTTCTCAAGAATGAGATTATCAGAACATGTATCAGTAATCAGTTGTAGGTGAATCTTACGATGACAAATTACTTCTTTCTTATGTTTTTCTGTTCACCCACTTGATAGTGTCCTTCCTCTTTCTCTCTCTTCCCACCTGGGAAGAATTCTTCTTTCCATGTTGGACTTTTATGTACATATGAAGTTATGGATATGCATGTGGTATCTTAATTTTTTTTTAATAGCAAGTGTGTGTTAGACACACACACACACACACACACACACACATATATATATATATATATATATTTCATGGTATTGAATTTATATGATAGTATTTTAAACGTTAACTTTTTTCCCTCTCTAGGTGCTTAGATGATGAGACAGCTGTCTTACTTCTATACACATTGTTGCAAGGGAATTCCACCTTTCAGGAGTATGTCTTGGTCCGGGCTGATTTGGATACATTGGTAGGAAGAAATCACACAACTCATTCTTATATCTTAATCATACTAGTCTTACTTATGCATCTAGAACGAGGATTGAGTCATGCTCTGATAATGTGGTCCTTGTTTACCTTGTGAAATTAACAGTTAATGCCCATTCTTGAAGCATTGTACAATTCTCGAAGGAGGACAGCCAATCAAATTTACATGTTGTTGATTATACTTCTCATTCTTAGTCAAGATTCTTCTTTCAATGCAGGAATCCATAAGCTGGTTAGACTTGTTTTTTGGCATGACAAAGTCTTATTCTGTAATGATTGTGCTAAATAATAATCTAGTATATTTATGGACAGATATTGCCAACCGTTCCATGGTACAAAGAACGACTCCTCCTCCAGTCTTCTCTTGGTTCCCTCATGATCATCATTCTTATCAGAACTGTACAGTATAATATTTCTAAACTCCAGGTATGAATCTTAAAGCAAGACGAACTATTAATTTAATCACCCCATATATTTAAGCTGTCATTTCCTTCTGATTGATTATTTATTAAGTTTCATATCATTAGTTCATTGGATAATTTAAGAAGGCCATTATGAGAGTTGTGTTGACTGTTCTGATGAGTGTATTAATTGAACATATAAATTGATTGAGCGGGTTGTATTTTCATGCAAAATATTTTGTCCCATATTTCAATTTCAAGAAGCTCAAAATTGGGTTGGCTTCTGATCCTAAATTGCACATGACATGTTTTTTTTTCTCCTTACCCTTATCCTCTGCAAAAAAATTGTTTGTCTTAAAATTTTTCCATATTTCAGAATGTTATGGATTGATATGTTCCCGAGCAGCATATGCATATATTATAAGTTTTGATTGTTGACCTTGATAGTATGATTTACACAATTGTTTCTGTAAGCCTTTAAGTTTGCATTAATCTACTTAATTATTCCATTGATATGATTAGATGGTGTGCTAATTAGGACATTGTGCTGAATTGTGATAGGATGTATATCTTCATACAACGTGTCTGGCAACATTGGCAAACATGGCACCTCATGTCCACCATTTGAGTGCGTATGCATCTATGAGGCTAGTCAGCCTCTTTCACATGCTATCAAGGAAGTATGTTGCCATTCTTTTTGTGCTTTCATAATAAACTATATCCATTTAATATTTATATCTTGAATGACTGAGTTCTTGTATAAAGGTTTGATTCTATGTTGATTATCATTAGGTATAATAAATTTGCGGATCTCAGAGATAAGAAGCTCAATGTTTCAGAAAACAACTCAATTGAAATAAGTAGCCTTGTAGATGTGGTATGTGATAAGGGTTTTTCACTTGTATGACTTGTCGCCGCCGTCCCTTTCCGACGTCCCGGGGAGGGAACGTCTTTGAGACGTTAATGCGAGCGGTCGCGAAAAGATGGTTTAGACTCGCGTTTTTATTTTAAAAGGATTTCGAAAAAAGGGGTTCTTATGGAGTCGCCACCAATGTTTTGACCTTAAACATTGGAAAAGGAAAAATATTAATTTTAAGAAAAACCGCACTTGGCCATTATAACCAGAGTTGGGTAAGGGAGTTAGTTACGTGTGGGGAAGGTATTAGCACCCCACAACGCCCCTTTCGGGTTCCCTATGACAGATTAATTCATTTAAAGAAAAGACTTTGAGAAATTACGCGATTACCCTATTTTATTGCATAATATTGAAATGGCTATTTACATAATTTTAAATAAAACTAAATAAAGCAATAGAAGGAATATTAAAATGACTATCTACATGATTTTATTCTATATGACGCAATAAATAAAATAAAACAATAAATAAAGCAATAAAAGAGAAGAGAATTGAAAAGAACCTCCGTAGCAAGCTTTATATTGAGAATCTCGAACCGTGAGGATGCGTTTTGGCAACCCCTCTTTCTACACAAGACTCTCCTCACCAATATAAGAACGACTCTCCTAAAAATTTAAAGAAGAATCAAATGCCGGAATATAATTCCTTAACCGATTGTTACCTATTTAAGGCAATCGGAAAGATCATTTGAGAGAGGGAGAGAAGTAGACGAGTGCTCTAAAGTGTTTCAGAGCTCTCTGGAGTGTCTGTGGTGTCTGGGGTGTGAAAAAAGTGACAAATGAGCCTCCTATTTATAGTTTTTCGCAGCTGGCGCACTTTGGGACGGCCATCTGGGTGGGACGGCCGTCTGGACTGGGACGGCCGTCCCAAATGGCATTTTTACACGAGCGGGACCCCCGGGAGGCCGGGACGGCCGTCCCACTTAAAACGGGTTTGGGACGGCCGTCCCACATTTGGGACGGGCGTCCCAACCGCTTAATTGCAGTTGGGACGGCCGTCCCACTTTGGGACCGTGGTCCCGGCTGTTTTGTCCAGTTTTCGTGTTCTGGGACCCCGGGAAGCTTTCCTTTCCTTTTTCGGACGTAGATTGATGCCGATGTGTGTCCATTGAAGCTTTATCTTCATGAGGGAAGTCTTCTTGGCCTTCACTAAGATGCCGGGCGAGCTTTATCTTTGTGTAGGAAGTCTCTTTTGGCTTTTATTGTGTGAATGAGTGAACTCCGTCTTCTGTTATGGGAGGTCCTTCTCGGTTTTGGGAAGCTGGATGAACTCCATCTTCGGGCGAAGTTCCTCTAGCTTTTATTTTGAGAGGCCGGGCAAAATTAGGGGTCTACAGCTGCCCCCCCTTCACCTGTCAAACTAATTTGTTGGTTTAATATACCGACAAAGTTAGTTGGTAGGGGAAGGAGTTGACCCTTTGCCGGTTATCCTTCGGATGCTTCTTTGTCGATCTTCCGAATGATAAATGTGAACTTCCAGGATGTTCCTTCGATGCGGTAGCTGATCCTGTGGTTGATGAGTATGAATTTTGTAGTTTTGGGATGCTCCTTCGATGCGGTAGCTGACCCCGTAGCTGACGAGTGTGAAGCCTTAGGATGCTCCTTCGGAGAGGTAGCCGATCCTTCGATTTGTAGGATGCTCTTTTGATGAGGTGGCCGATCCTTCGGTTTGCAGGATGCTCCTTTGGAGAGGTAGCCGATCCTTCGGTCTGCAGGATGCTCCTTTGGAGAGGTAGCCGATCCTTCGGTCTGCAGGATGCTCCTTTGGTGAGGTAACCGATCCTTCAGCTTGCAGGATGCTCCTTTGGAGAGGTAGCCGATCCTTCGGTGTGCAGGATGCTCCTTCGGTAAGGTAGCCGATCCTTCGGTTTGGAGGATGCTCCTTTGGAGAAGTAGCCGATCCTTCAGCTTGCAGGATGCTCCTTTGGAGAGGTAGCCGATCCTTCGGTGTGCAGGATGCTCCTTCGGTAAGGTAGCCGATCCTTCGGTGTGCAGGATGCACCTTCGGTAAGGTAGCCGATCCTTCGGTTTGGAGGATGCTCCTTTGGAGAAGTAGCCGATCCTTCAGCTTACAGGATGCTCCTTTGGAGAGGTAGCCGATCCTTCGGTTTGCAGGATGCTCCTTTGGAGAGGTAGCCGATCCTTCGGTCTGCAGGATGCTCCTTCGGTGAGGTAGCCGATCCTTCGGTTTGGAGGATGCTCCTTTGGAGAAGTAGCCGATCCTTCGGTGTGCAAGATGCTCCTTCGGTGAGGTAGCCGATCTTTCGGTGTACAGGATGCTCCTTCGGTGAGGTAGCCGATCCTTCGGTCTGCAGGATGCTCCTTCGGTAAGGTAGCCGATCCTTCGGTTTGGAGGATGCTCCTTTGGAGAAGTAGCCGATCCTTCGGTTTGCAGGATGCTCCTTTGGAGAGGTAGCCGATCCTTCGGTGTGCAGGATGCTCCTTCGGTGAGGTAGCCGATCCTTCGGTGTGCAGGATGCTCCTTCGGTGAGGTAGCCGATCCTTCGGTGTGCAGGATGCTCCTTCGGTAAGGTAGCCGATCCTTCGGTTTGGAGGATGCTCCTTTGGAGAGGTAGCCGATCCTTCGGTGTGCAGGATGCTCCTTTGGAGAGGTAGCCGATCCTTCGGTGTGCAGGATGCTCCTTCGGTGAGGTAACCGATCCTTCAGCTTGCAGGATGCTCCTTCGGTGAGGTGGCCGATCCTTTGGATGATGAATAGTTTTGATAGGTACCAACCCCTATCTGGTTTGATGAGAATGAACCCTCATCTGATCCGAACCTTCTTTTGTAAGGCTCTTGTGAGTACAAACCCCCACCCGGTTCAAGTCTGTATTTGCTAGATTTTTGTGGGTACTTTCCCCCACTATGTTTGAGTTCGCGTTTGCTAAACTCTGTGACGAGCCCCGTTCTGCAAGGCTCTTAGGATTCTCTTTTTGGCAGTCAGTCTTTTGATGAGTACAAACCCTCATCCGGTTTTTGGAGATGTGTTGGTGGCTTATTGTCTCTGATCATGCACCTATTCCATGGGGAGTGATTGATTTTTAGTCATCCGGTTTTACCGGGGATTTTTTTGTTTTGGCTTTTCTTGTTTAGCCATCCGGCTTTGCCGGGGATTTTGTCGATTGCCTCTTTTTAGGCGGGAATCCTCTGGGGATTTTGAATTCTCTTATTGATTGTGCCTCTTGATTAGGCAAAGATCCACTTGGGAATTTTGTTGTGCCTCTTGATTAGGCGGGAATCCACTAGGGATTTGTTGATTTTTTGATTGTGCCTCTTGATTAGGTGGGTGCTTCAATAGTGGTGAAGGCTTTTTACTTGTTGTTTTTCGCCTCTGAATAGGCTGATGTTCTTCTTGAGGATATTTGTTCTTGATAATACCTCTGAGTAGGTGGATGCTTTTCTGAAAGCTTTATGCTCGTATTGCCTCTTGCATAGGTTGATTTCCCATTTCTTGGGGATATTGGCTTTCTGCTTGCCTGTTGGAAGTGAAGACTTTGCTTTTCACTGGGGATATTTGTATTTGGGAATTTATACGCGATTCCCTGAGGATATAAACTTGTAGTTTTGCCTTCATTTGGTAGGCTCGCTGGGGATTCTCTTCTTTTGGTGATCTATTGGGGAATTGATTTCATTCTGGAGATCTTATTTTGGATTGCCCCCCAAGAGAAGAATGGAGTTTTTGACTTTTTATTGGATGCTTGTTGTTTGAGCTGGATTTGCATAAGCTCTTATTTTGAACTGGAAGATGGAAAGAATTTTGTTTTCCTCTTTTTGTCTTTTTGTAGACCTTTCTTGACGTGTTCTTTTTGGGGATTTTCATGTGGCCTTTCTGTAGTGGCCTCTGTCGTGGAAAGATTTTCTTTCTTTTCTTTTTGTTGCCCCCCAGTGATGTGGGGGATTTTGACTCCGTTTTTTCTTTGATGGACTCTTATGTAGTCCTTGTTCTCCATTGGGGAATGAAGCGGAGACTCTTGCATGAGTGTGCTTGATGACTCATGTGGTGATGAAGTTGAGTCGTGAGGTAATCCTTTTGTTTTGCCTCTGGAGTAGGCAAGGATCCGTTTGGGGATATTTAAGCCTTTCCGTTGACTTTTTCCTTTCTTGATGTACCTTCTTTTATTGGTGGAAGGATGTTGGAGCTACTTTTCTTGAAGCTCCTTATTTTGCTGAAATGATTTTGATTTTGTCTTTTGCTATTTTCATATGGAGATTGGATTCTGGCGCCTCCTGTTTTCAATCACAAGTAGGGAGACTAGCTTCCTTATATGCATGTTTAATATTTGTTTGAAGAAAATTATTTTTCTTGATTTTGACAAAGTCGTATTATGCATCTACTTTGTGTGTGGATGTCCTAAATGCAATCTATTTGTTTATTTATTTTTGATGCATTTAGAAAGTAACTGGCCTTCTCCCGTTGGCTTCTCATGAATATGCCGATGGGCTCCTTTCTTTATGATTACAATGATGGGCTCATCTTTTACTCATCTTTTAATTTTAGCCCTATCTTTTGCCTAGACCGCCCTTTACGGGTTTTCGATCTAGCGGGCTGCCTTAATTTTTGCCTAGAATACCTTAGGGGGCTTTTGCCTTATCTTTTTGCCTAGATCGTCCTTTTGGGGTTTGCGATCTAGCAGGCTACCCTAGTTTTTATCTAAGAATATACTAGCAGGCCTTTATTCCTTTATCGTTTTCATATGCTTCCCTTTTTTAGATGCATGTTTGATCTTTGATTAAAAGTCTTTGCGCATATTTATGATTTATCAATAAAGAGGCATTTCCATAATATTTGGTCAAGAGAAAGGAAATAAAAGGAAATTTTATTGATAAATGAGCAAAAGTTTTATTTCTTTTATAGAAGGATTTCAAAAGGTATTTAGAAGAATGGGTGGTCAGGGTTGGCTATACTGTATAGGCTTGAACAGTCATGTCTATGATATCTGCCCCCCAGTTCTCCTAATTGCTTCAGTTGAGATGTTTGAGCTCGGAGTGAAG